CTTTTTCTTTCCCTTACCTGCCTTACCTTTGCCACGTGTTTTTCCTTTCTTTTGGGACTTGCTGCCATTCTGTGACTTGGAGCCCTTGGTGGAACCTTTCAAACGGAGTTGTTCATCCCGGGTTACAGGGGTGAAGTCAGTTGAACCATCCCCCAATTCCTTGCTGGTGTTGTCCTTGGTGTCAAGCTTGCCACCCATCCCATCCTCCACAACGTCCTTGGACTTGGACTTGGTCTTCCTGACCTTCTTGGGAATGGTTTCAGCCGGCTGGTCGGCCTGAGTGGGTTGAGCCATGCATGCATGGACCGTCAGGATTCATGATATGAAGTAACATGAAGTAAACTTTTGGACTCGATCGGCTATGAAAAAAGACCTTCAAAGATCAGTGCTAGACATCAATCGATTTGATATTCATGCATGTCCGCTTTTTTTGATTATGTTTCTTTACCAAATGGAGGGTGAAACTATATGTCATCATTGAAATCCAAATCGAGTCTCATGCTCCTCCCTCCTGGGAGGAGTTTCAGCTGACCTGGCCACCTGCTGATACTGTTGGCGAAGCTTCTCCGTCGGAACTTCCGGGGACGATGTGGCAGGAAGAGATTCTGGGGGACTAAGTTTCATCACATCCATAGGCTGGGTTTCGAGGTTGTCAGCCGCAGGTTTCTCGATCTTCAGGTGTTCAGTACCTGCGCGTGTTTTTTTTTGGTATTTCCACTTATACATGGAAAGTAGGATGGCAAGGATTGTACAACCATTCAATGGAAACTTTATATGATATATTATATGAAACATTATAATATGAAACATATCATATAATGTTTAATTGCATCATCGGGGAAAAGAAAGATTGAGTTGCATGACTCCCCAGAGCTGGCCTTTGGTCCGCTTAGGTGGCTCCTCTGCCTTCATCTTCCGGATCTCAAGGTTCACGTTGCTCTTGCGTGCACGGATCCTGACATGGGCCACTAAGAATTGGCTACATGGCATTGGGGGCATTGGCAATGTGTTTGCATATCATCAAGATCAAGCTTTTCAGCTGACAAATTTATTCATGCACCTGATCTTGAATAGACCGATAGATACCGATAATATCCTTGACGTATTATGAAGTATTCGTTCTATATATTTTTATCTGTAGTGATCGATGCACATGAAACTGCAACGAGCTAAGCCAATGGCTCAGCCAAACGTGCTTGCATTCGTTCCAAATCAGAGGGTTCCAACTTCGGTGATCCACCACCAACTTCACCTGCATGGGTCTCTGTTTTTTGGTTTAGAGGATTTTATATGACATGCCTGATGTTTGCATGCATGATTGCACATGATTCCAAATGGATCCACATGACAAATAAAATGACAAGTCGCCAGAACCATGTGCCGAATCCAGGCCTTTGGAAACCAAAGCTGCTGCCGAGTGAGCTGCAGGACCAGAGGGCTGGGACACCACAGGTGGATCGGAACCTGAGCTAGTAGAGCAAACTGGTTTGGATTCCTTCTTCTCAACCAATTGTTCCGGGATATCTTTGCCCTTGATCTCATCAGTGATTTCAGGGTCAGAGTGCGAACTGTCCGAATCATCATCTGAATCAGACCCATCTTGATCCTCATCCCACGCATCGTCATCCTCTCCATTCAGAGCCTGAAGTGATTGATGCAACAATTGAATTCATTTATAATGAACAGTGTTCAGTGTTCCCATGAATCAATGGAAGGGTCGGCTATCCGGTGTGCCTCTGAACTGCTGTGTTTCTCCGATTGCTTCCTGTTGATCTCTTCACAAAGCCCCTGAGGCAGAAGCTCCAGGTGAGTTATCATAAGGTTCTTGGGTACATTAACAGTATTGCATTATAGCATATTGCATAGCCGAAAAATGAAAGTGTCAGGAAGTCAAGTTGCCAAGATGATGGAAACTAACCCAAAGAGAAAGAGCCCCCCCGTCCTCAAGATCCGGGTTGAGAATGCAACACAGCTCCTGGAAGTTCTGAACCTTAGTCCGGCCATCTGATGGGAAACCATTTCATAATTGATTTGCCATGATTATGAATCTTGGATTCAAAAGCAATTGGTTCAAATCTTACTTGTGGTGTTCAAAATTTTGAGATGAGGAACTGTGGAAACCAATTGCTTGCCGGCTTTGTTCTTGACAAGTGTCAGCAACTTTCTGATATACCAGCTATCAGTAATCACCTCCGATGCTACTGGTGTCCTTGAAGTCTTCTGGTAGAGCAAAGCAATCTGTTCCCTCAAAGGTCGAACTGGCGGCTGCGGCACACCCTCTATTCCACTAGATCGAAATAGGATTGCCTTCAAGATATCAGAGACATATTGGCATGACGCTCCCTTCACAGTGACTTTGAAATTCTCATGAAACAAGGGCTCTTTCGGGTTGTCTCTCAAGTAGACTCTAACAGCTGTGGAATCATCCCACTCCTTTGCTAGACCAGCCGTGGGCACCCTGGGCTTCTTGGCCTCCCTTTGAGTCACCATGGCTTCAAATTGCCGGTGAACTTCGAGATAAAATTGCTTCGGACAAGAATCAAAGCTGATGTTCATCAAAGAGCTTGATAGATACTACAACCATTTCAGGGCACAACCAAAACTTGTAGTCCACAAGAGAATCAATCAGAAACTTCCCACGCGCAGGATGGCGCCTGATCTTTGGTGTGGAGAAGAAAAAAGGGCCATGGCTCGAGATCTTGGGTGTAAAATGGTGTAGGTTGTATAAATGTTTTGTATAATCTACTGTACATAGGGTTGCCCTTTGGCTCTAAAGATGTCCTAGCTTACTTAAACCAATATTCAGCTGATCATGACAGCTAAGGCTTTTGTGCCAACAATTTCAAAACTGATATATACTTACCACCATTTCATTAATTAATAATCTCCTTAAGTGCCACCAAACCCCGGTGGGCTTGATCCACAGCATCGGTTGATGCCGTTCAGCGTTCAGACCTGAAGGCGTTTGAGATGATATTGATATGATATGAAACATATGTATTATATATGTGATGTGGATTGAAATGCCACATGTTGTGGTATGAAATATGATGTTGTATGAAATGTCATATGGTATGAAATGCCATGATGTGGTGTGAAATGCTTTGATACGGTATGAATATGAAATGCCAAGATGTGGTATGAAATGCCATGATATGGCATGAAATGCTATGAAATGCCATGATACGGCATGAAATGCTAAGAAATGCCATGATTGGGTATGAAATGCCAAGGTGGGACATGAAATGCCATGAAGTGATATGATCATGCAATGATGTGTTGTGAATTATTATAAAGGGGTATGAAATACCATGACATGTTGTGACAATGCAATGATATGGCATAAAATGATAGTTCATAATATATCATGAAATAACCATATGGTGAAATATAGGTTTTATGTGAAAACCAGGTTTTTCACATGAGGGTTAATGAAAGCCAGGTTCTTGAGTTGCGACCTGCTTTTTTATAGGTTCTTGGCTGTGATGGTATATATATATATAAATAGATAGGACTCGATTCAAGTATATAGGTATAGATTCATTGGACTCGACTAGATATTATACGCACAAACAATATCTAGTACAGTAAAATCGCCATCGGCTTTTGGACTGGTTGGATTGGTAGATACTGTCAAAAGGATCCCCAATAAGTTAGCTGAATCCCAAAAGCCTCCAGGGCTTCTGTCTATAGGAGCTGACGAGGGGGTACGTATACATATCCTAAGTGGCCGCGCATGCAAAACATATGTAAAACTCATATGAAACATAGATTTTTACGCTGGTGGAACGTATGTGATGCGTATGTGAAGCGTATGTGCAGCGCAAGTGAAAACATATGTGAGCCGTATGTGAAATATATGTGAAACATATGCGAAATACATGTGACATATTAACGTATTTTGGGACTGGATTGCATTGTGTTTATGTTTTACTTATTTATACGTTTGCGAATTCATGTGTTTTTTTTATGTCGGAGGAAAAATAAGACCTTATTTTGTGCAAATCACGCAAAATAAGGCCTTATTTTGGAACGCACGTATAGAAAACATAAACAAAACGCAAACGAGAACGCAAACACATGTTGTAACGTTTGTGTTTGTACATGTGTTTATGGTTTATGTTTTATTTATGTCGGGAGAAAAATAAGACCTTATTTTAGGCAAATAAGGCCTTATTTTATCGCTTACGTAAAAGAAACGCAAACAGAAACATAAAGAAAACAGCTAGTAGCCGCAATTTCTGGATATGTCGGGAATATGCGTTTTGTTTGCGTATTTGAAGCCGTTTATGTATGCGTATGCGCAGGCCAGTCCAAGACGGGCTCTATTGTGAAAGCCTTTGAAACCTTGCTAACCAATAAGATATACTTGATGTAGTCAAATGACTGTACTAGACAGATATTGTCAATCATCAAAAAGATGCCGAACAGTGTTAAACCAAAATGGTCTAGTTAGATTATGTTAGATTATTTTTTCACGCAAAAAAACACATGCCCAACTTGTCTGCATCTTTTTGGGGTTACTATAGAACTCTATGGACCTGTACCCTGTACCGCAAAAAAAACACATTTTTCTTGCAGTATCTTATTACACATTCTCCACAGCCTCACAGAAACTAGTATGTTCAGTCCCCTCAGTGGTAAGCATGTTTGGTAGTCATGAAGGTCCCAGTAGTTCGATGATGTTTCCCCCCAAAGGCTCCAAAATGTCCAACTTTTCTGTATGTTTTTGGGTGTTCTTATAGTTGATTGGTGCTTTTAATTGTATAATACTATCCGTCATATCCCATGTGATATCCCATATCTTATCCCATATCCTATGACTGCTATATCCCAATATGCCAGATTTTTTATTTTTTCCTGGTTGGTGGTTTCAACCCCTCTGGAAAAATATTAGTCAGATTGGATCATCATCCCAACTATTGGGGAAAATAAAAAATGTTCCAAACCACCAACCAGTTTCCCATGATCCCCCATGAAATCTGACTTCTCCGGAGCTCCAAGGCTTCGATGTGATTCATCCGCAGCAAGGACAGCACCAATTCGTCATGCACCGGCACGGAGCCACCCACCAGGCCTGGGAAACAAGGTAAATCGAAAACGGGGGATGCCCACCAAAACATCAAAAAAAATAGAGACTATATAAGGGGAATATATGGAAATATCAGTGAATCTATGATAAGATATGGGATTTTCTATCAGGATTATAGGAAATGTGGGAATGAAAAATATGAGAATATAGGCAATATAGGGAACCAAATTAATCATAAATTGGGGAAATTACATTTGAAATTTACCACCAAAGTTCTTTGGGAAACTGTGAACAACTTCTGGACCATGCGCCAAAAATGCAGAGTTAAGCGTCAGAAAAAGCCAAAGGGACATGAAAGGGAGAACTGGTTAGATGATGCTATATAGATCAAAAAAAGTTTTCTGAGGTATCCAGATACCCAAATAATGTCAAGGTCTGTTACCTGACCAATCATGACCAGCAGCTGGCCTGTGTTCCCGCCCTGTGGCACCACGGCCAGATTTTGCCCATTCGCATACCTGAAGCGAAATACCACAGGATGTATGGACATTGACCTCCAAAACGCGGGAAGAAATGGTGCTTCTCAGCCGTGGAGCATTCACCAATACCAATCTGGAAAACCATATGATATGACTCCTCAGCTTGCACAGTCCTCCACTAGAAGGGCCAGAAGCTGCAATGGCAAGGAGTCTACGCCGACCAACCATCGTACTGTGTGCCGAGTTAAATCCATAAACCTTTGGCCAAGTTACAAACACTTTCAGAAAAGCTCATGTTGAATCATTTTGCTGGCAATGGATGGTACTGGGTCAAAACCTTGGTAGTTACATACCATTACATACCAGTTACATTTCGTGATGTTAGGAGGTGAATGACGACCCAATCCCTTTTGGTAGTCAACCAAGATACGCCAGGATTTCGGAGACTTCCTTTGTGGTTGCCTCGGCACAGAATCATGGCGCTTTACCGGACTTTACCGCTAAATAGGGGGGGCGTTCCTGTTTCCCCTTAATTAAACCCATTCTGGGAATGTATTGTCTTTTCGTGTCGTGTATTCAAAAGACATCCACTTAGATACGTAGAGCAGGTAGATTCGGAATGCTCTTGTGTGTTTGTCTGTCACACGACATAGAAGCTACAATGCAAGTCGAATTGTGTCACAAATATGGAGTTACCGAGATACCATGAGTTGTTGATAGTTTGATATCATTGAGCAGGGTCTTCCTTCTGAATGTTGAAGCACGAATCACCGACCACCTTTGGCCATTCTCAAGGCTGCAGCTTCTGGCGCTCGACTCATCTCATTCATCATTTGAGCCACTAAAATACCCTTGTTGATTGATTATTTTGCGAGGGTTAAACGGGGGATTCTTATAACCCATTTATAACCCATATTAGGGAAATCTATCACCCAACATCACCCAACATCGTACCATGCCATGGGAATTTCCGGGGTATTTCCAATGGCTCAACTGATCACGTTGACGTCCAATCTCCAGGCTTCCGCACTGGCTTCAACACCGCTGCACTACGACCCTCCCATTTGCCTCGGCTTCACCAAAGGTCATGACATGTTACTAGAATTGGGGAATTGGGCCAGCGGGCTACACCAAAATCATGGGTTTTCTCCCCAATATCACCATAAATGGGTGCCATAAACAAGGTAAACAATCCCCAAATGGTAGGTTTCTTGGCAATCTTTGGATGATTTTGGATGCCCCATTTGAAAAAGCTCACCCGAGGCGAAGATGGGAGTGGGACCCACCTACGAAGAATACGGCTTTGGTGATGCTCAGCCCTCCCTGACGCATTAATAGGATTAGTATTAAACCATACCCTCTGGTAATTTCACATAGCTATTGAAAATGGCCATTTATAGTTGATTTACCCATTAAACATGGTGATGTTCCATAATTATGTTAGTTTACCAGAGGGTAAACCATAGTAGGAAGCTGGCACCTTCCCCAACCATAGGTTAAATTTTGGCAGCAGTTGCCATGCAAACGCGAAAAAACATCTGCATATGCAAGAACAAAACAGCACAAGCATCCTAAAACTGCGCTCCATCCAGTAGAGTCTGGAGAAAAATGTTGTGCCCCACGCCCTCCCCACAACATTTACATGTACAATGTACATTTATCTATAATATCTATGTATATATAATATCTATGTATCTATAATATCTATAATATCTATATCATTCTATATCATTCTATATCATTCTATTATCATTCTATATCATTCTATATCATCATATATCAGTTTATATCATTCTATATCATTCTATATCATTCTATATCATGCTATATCATTCTATAGCTATGTATCTATATATATATATATACATGTATATATCTATATATCTATGTATCTATATCTATATATATATAACTGTATCTATATACATGATTATACATGTATATATGTATAATTATATGTTTACACTAAAGTGATCTTCTAACCGTGGACACTGCCCGGGAAGCCGCCCCAGTTTGGACCAAGTGGCCCATCCAGTCCTGGTTGTATCTCAGCAAATCCTGGCATCGGTCGACAGCACCGCCCCCCGAAAAAAAAAAGGGAATATCTGGGAATCGATGAGGTTTATATAGGTTTATAATGCGTTATAACAAAAAAAAACTGAACTTACAAGTCATGTCGCAACTTGAGGAGTCGAATCAACAGTGACTCATTGGGCTCAGTTGATGGGCCGCAGTAGCCATGGCTTTCAACTTCAGGTATCATCTCCACAGAGTGGCTCAATCATCCGTAAATCCTCTCAATATGGGCACTGGGACATTCCCCCTTTGTAGAGGAACCACATATATGAGAAGCCAAAAAAGAGATAGAAAATGATAGAAACATACAGTTAAAGGTCAGCAAAAGCCATCGATCACTACAAACATCACGACATTTTCGTGGTAAGTTCCTGTTCCTTGGCGACATGGGCTCCTCTCGTTCCACCTCCTCTGGTGTCATGACGTTCTGTGGGCCCAGGATCCTAGGTGTAGATGGGATGAAAAGCTGAAGCCGTCTGACATCACCGGTGCTGTGCTGCCAGGCATCTGTTTCAGTTTCTGCAAGTCATCTGGTTTCAGGGTGGCAAAGCTTCCCCGTGGTGCCTCAAATACAGCGGAAAGACACTGAGTCGAATAGAGGCGATGATTTTTGTGGATTCTTGGTGTAGGTGGCTTTGTCTGAAAATCGGCTATTCCCATTCTACCCATTCTATCCACCCGGAAAACAACAGCCAGCTGGGATAACCACCAGTGGATGATGAGAATTCCCCCAAAGGAATAAGTGAAAATGTGTCATCTTGCACCTACTAACATCATTTACGAAAACATATGAGTTGTAATTCGTGTAAAAATATATGATTCGTATTAGAATGTATTAGAATTCTTATGTTTGTGCGTCCAAAATGTGGGGATTAGATGGGATTAGTACCCGCACATTTTGCTTACCTCAGTCTACCAGATGAATTCACCTGGTAAATGTGCGGGGAGCATGTTTCATTGGGACTCGCCCTCTCTCAGTGGGGTGATGGCTCGCAATGCTTACTTCATGTTGGGATGATTGGCTTTTGGGGTTACATTACCTATCTGATGGTCGTTTGACTTATACCAATTTGATCCAATTCGTGTCATTTGGGCCCCCATCTTCCCAAGTTTTGAAGCACAATGCCATAAACCAGATCAAACCAGTTTGTATTTCCCCTCTTCGTTAGTAAATGTCCCATTGCTTGTTGGGCGTAAACTCATTCGACGAGCAAGTCATGCAAACTCCCATGGTTTTCTCCGTCATTTTGATCCTGAATCCAAACCATGGTACCCTGCCTTTTGGGAATGATTCTCATCGGGATGTTCATCGTCCCTTTTGTTTGGGAAAAGCGTAGGTCTTTACCCCGTCTCCCCAACTCTCGGCCCCCCTACCGTCGACGCACTCGCCACACATCGCAGTCCATGGCGAAGGCCCGTGCGCAGCGACACAGCGCACAGGCGCGAGCCAAGCGCGCGCATGGCTCGAGATCGGCGACTATAATGGATGATAGTCCCTGACTGTGACTATGATAAATTTTACATGGCCATTGGAATTTAGAGGTTTCATATCAAATCTACGTAGAATACAGTCAGGATGTTTCTTCCAGTCGTCAATGGCCAGGAGAGCTATAACGGATTCGCAGGTTGGGACGAAGTTGAGCATACAAATACCTGTTGTGGCTTTTCAGTGGCATGGTGGTAATCAACCGGGAGTCATTCCAAACAAGGCTTGCGCGAGATTGCGAGTATATGGACCAAATGAAGGAAACACGGTGAAACACACATGTGGTTGGTCGTTCAACACATCCCCAACAGGTGGTATTAGTCTAGTTGGGATATGTTGGCACCATAATCCTGAGGATGGAAAGTATGGAAGATATTTCTTCGTGGTCTTTAAGTTTGACAGGTGGAAAACCCGGTCTTCAATCGCAAGTAGACAATCCCTTGAGATCCAAGAAGCCTTAGAACCTGCATTAACTGTCAACAGTGAAGCAGCATAAACCAGCCATGTCTCTTGGAGCGGAATGGAGGAGTGCCATTGGTGCAATTTTCTGATCTGTAGTTCTTTTGTAAAGGCAACCAGCTGAAAGGACATCATGGTGGCCAAATTTCCATTCTTGAATTGTCTTAGCAACTGTTCACCCAAGAAGCCACATGGATGGTGGCCAGCCACTCATCCCCATCCCCCCATGGAAAAAGCTGAGCACCCAAACCCCTCCACTCTTCATGGCGCTACTCAGTTCCTCCAGAGCTGCTAATTCTTCCTGCGACAAGGAAAACAGACCTGGATTGAAGCATTGACATATTATGTGATTGTAGGGATTTGAGCAGCAAGAAAATCAAACAATTAAACTGGTGATTGAACCAGCAAGAATGGAAGCGATCAGCATTGGGATGTCAACAACTAAAAGGTAGATCTTTGCAAGAAAACTGGGATCTGCAGCCAACCAACATGGGGATATAACCAACCAAAATGCGGATTTAAATGGAAGTTTAAAAGCGGTTCCCAGCCGAAAATGCGCACAGTAACCCACAAAAAGTTAGAAAGTAGATTCCTGCTAGTGATCAATTACTCTTCTATCTTTTGGGGGGTTGCCCCATGTGTATATGTATTATATAATATACATAATCCAATTATGGATGGTTTTTCCTGAGCTTGGCGATGGTCCGAAACTGGGGTTCCCCCTTGGAACATCTCAGAGACATCGAATCCGCCTCTTTCACCACATCACGCGCTCGTTGTAGGATTCCACATCCGGCCGAATCCTGAGCGGAGCATCATGCTTTGTACTGTCCAGAGGTGGGGAGCAAAAAGCTTAAAATAATTAACCAAATGCTAGAAAAACGCCATAACACCCGTGATATCCTGTGATACCTTTCAATTAATGAATGAAACTGGATGGTTTGACAGATTAAAAACCCTCACGGCCCTTCACCCTTCACCACGTTCACCACGTTCACCACGTTCACCATGTTCACCATGTTCACCATGTTCACCATCCCCAGCGCCATTCCCCACCATTTTTCCAGGCGGCCGGATACTCGCTGGGTTGCAACTGCACCTCTTCTGCCTTTTGCACCGCGGCGCGCAACTCCTGGATTTCAAGGAGTGGAGGAACCATGAGGAAATCCATGAAGATGGGGGATTGAAGCAACAGAAATATGGTGAGTTCATATACAAAACGTAGTCGTTCAATTTGGGCGGTAGAATCTTAAGATGTGGAATCTCACAAACGATGGTATGTCATGGTATGTCCATTCAGAGAAATCACAGCATACTTGGATACAGTTGCCCGATTCTATCTACTGCACAGCCACTAGTGGGTGTCCTTAATTTTGACCCGTAAGTGACTTTCCATGAAACAGTGGGATGCAAGGCATTGCCTTGGCACCGGCTTGTTCAATCCAGCTCGCTGGACCCCAATGGCTTCATGCTGCAGTTCCCCATCCAACTGACCCACTTAGATCATCTCACCCGTCCTTCAACATCCGGTTTTGGATCGCTGTGGCCAAGCGGGTCACTGCACCCTGCTTCTCGATGATGTTCATAAAGATCTCCTGGCGATCTTCACCAACCACCGGCTGTTCAGAACTGGGAGTTTCAACATCTTTAAACAACATTAGATTGGCATCAGCTTCTCAAATCAACATCATATTCTTTTTTGAAAAGAACACCTAAGACCAAGCTGCGTTTCGGATACTAAGGACCTTTCTGTGCTACTTGGGTCTAAGCAAAATATGGCATCTCAAACTTCTACTAAGGGGTAACCCTAAACCATATACCCCACATGTTTAATGAATTTTGATGACCCCAACATGGCAAATTGTTAGGTCATGTGAGGTGTGGTTTCTTATGGGGTTTACCACATCCTCTGCAACCTTTGCAGGTGTAGGTGAACTCACATCCCCTGGACCTTTTCTGCAAGGCTTATACTCTGAGAAATCTTCACACTTCAATCCTTACTCCATGCCGTTTCTATTGGACTTGATTGCAAAACTAGAAAGTTCATAGGCCACAATTGTAGTAGGATTGTACCTTTATGACTTTTCCTGGCGTGCTGATCTTATATCATCAACATTCATTAACTCCATCCCCACCGCCTCCCCACGTTGCAGCAGCACCACATCCACATCGGCACGGCGCGCGTGTTCCAAGGCCATCGAGAGCTCCTGAAGGGAAAATCGACAGGTTCAAACCCCATAAATGGCAGATTAAACCGCTGAACGAACCGTATATTAGTTTAACTTGGTGGAACCTGCAAAAGTATAATGTCAATCAAAAAAATGTACAATATATATATATATATATATGTGTTCTAATATGTATATATATATATTGGGGTATTGATCAACAAAAAAGGAAGCCAAATCTGTTCAATTTTGTAATATGCATCATGTTTGATATAGGATGTGAGTATGAGCAACTGGAGATCATATCTCCACTAGGATGATAACAAATCAAAGTCTGATTGTCAGTTGGTTAAGGGAACACCTGAACCGGTTTAACCATATCGTTTTTACCACAAAATATTAAGATGGTTTGTGGATTATCCAGCAGATTTCTCATCATTAACAAACAATCTATGTTTGATGGTTAAAAATCTATGTTTGATGGGAATATAAGTCCACGATTCCCAAAATCCCACAACTTTCAGCCGCTGCCATCCTCTAAGTCCACCGGATCGCGTGCAAGCGCCTCGCGCAGAACCTGGCAGGTAGAAGTACTCAGCTATGATCATACTGAGAGATTACCAAATTGTTACTGATTGTATCTGATTGTGATGATTGTCTTGGCTTTCAAAGATGGCGAGGTTTATAGATGTGATATAAACATCTTGTTTCTTCCACAACTCATGTCGTTGCACCAAAAAAAACCATAGAACTACTTATGATCAATGGCCAAAAACTGAAGTGAAAAAAGTGTCTCAAATCCTGACCCAAAGCGCCTGTGTGGCGGTGGACGTCGGTGAGGGCGGCTGCTCACTGATATCGGTGTGGAAGTTCTTGAAGGACCTCAGCCGAGGGGAGGCCGGTCATCGAGTCATCAACATGTAGCTATACTTGGTGGATGGTGGTGAACTAGCCACGGATCGTAAGTCGGTTAGTTCAGTTCTCAGTGGATCAAGCCTTATCCCGCTTGATCCCACTTGTAAGCAGGGATATAACCTACTTAGTAAGTGGGATGAGCCACCACGTATGGAAGCCATGGCCCCTTTAGTTCGATGATTTGCCTATTAAACATGGCGATTTTCCATTCGGTAAACTGGCAGTCATTACCAAAACTTATTCGATTCATGATGATCTGGGATAATCAGCGGGGCAAGAAAACCCTGCTGAGGGTCACTCTAGTCCGAACTTGTGAAATGAGGGCGCTGTAGATCAGTGGGAGCTCTGGCGATCTACACCATGAAGCTGTACATAATCCAATTTGGGGATGATTCCGGCAATCCAATTCCCATCATTCCGGTGCCGTCGTTAGGTCGTTATGATGAAATTAGTTGGCTAATGATATATTATGATACGAAACTATAACAACTTGTTGACAAACCATTAGTCAGTAGTTGTATAATGTTATATACTGTAGATGGCTTACTGATTGTTGAACAGTGGTTGGTTAAAATGTACGTATGCAATACGCCCAATCATAATGGAAAGGATCGGTCTTCTAATACATGGAAAATGTTTTTTTCCCATTCCCGAATGAATCATCATCATGAAATACTGGTTGGTTGAGAAGTATAATTCCCACAATTTATGATAAGAATAAGATTGTGGCTGGGATTATCCTGTCTCCACCACGATTTTGGTGCCAAAACTAACACAAAGTAATGATCCCATTTTTCAACCGAGTAGTATATCACGTATGACACGAACCAAACACATTCTATTGGCCCAGATAAGAAACAATAAACTTACTGGTTGACGGTTGAGACATGTTGAGACACCCACATCCAATTAGCAATGGAAATCTAAATGATGTTCCCATCCCCCTTTGGGTTGCTCCATTGGATGCGGTGTCATTTTCTTCGTATACCCTCTAGTAATCAAACATGGCAATTGAACATATTCTATAAGTGGGCGCTTTAATGTGCTATGGAAAATCCTCGAACTAAATGGGGGATGTTCCAGCTAGCAATGGAGCTGATTACCAAAGGACCCAAATTGGGGCATCGCTATAAATCAACCAGGGTCTCATGATGTCATCATGGCTCCCAGAAGCCGGACAGGACATACCGATCTCCGACCATCTTCTAAGTCAAGATTCCCGGTTGGTGGATTCCATCCATCAAAGGTTACGAAAGTCAATTGGGATCATTGCGATGAAAATAAAACGAATGTAATATTCAGATGCCAGGTTCCCTATCCAAGTTTTGAAGGACGAGCCTGGTATTTCGGAACTCAGGTTTTTAGAGTTGTGTTGTTGCCGGAGGCAAGAGATAAGGTAAAGGTAGCCTTTACATGCAGCTTACTCTTGCTCTTTACGCTTGACGGAGTAGGAGATCTTACAAAGAGTAGCAGAAGTCAAGAGTAAATATATTCTTCATCCATACCATAAGACGTGGATACTGAAATACCATATGATATTCAAGAGTAATTTGTCACATAACTTCACAATTCCATACCATCACTTTCTGGTCAATCTCACAGTTTCTTACGGAAAACCATCATTTTATATCATTTTATAGGTAAATCATCTGCAAATGGGCCATGGCTTCCATGGCCATGTTCGATTGCCAGTAGGATTTTAGAGAGGATTTTCCCATTGCTTCGGGGAGTAATCCTATAAAAATTACAAAATCCCCATGGGAATCCCATGAAATCCCTACATTTCATGGTTAAGTCCACCATGGAATCCCAATGTTTCATGGCGCCATGCTCCTCACCGCCTCCCCGAGGGCTCCCAACACCATCGGTGCGACCTCCTCGATGGAAGCGTTCTCAGGTCCTGCACCAGTTTGGGGGAGAAAGACATGGAAAAAACATGGCAAAATCATGGAAAAGTCATGAAAAGTCATGTGAAAAAAATCCCTTCCGAAAAAAAATCTGTTGAATCATGTGAAATCGAATGAATCGTTCAACAAAATGAACGGACCATCTTTTCTCTGCGGCTTCTTCCTACAGTAGGAATTTACAAAACGAAAAGCCAGCCGGATCCTTCCGATTCGACCTCCATTAAGTCCAGCTCGCGAGCGTGTGCCTGGTTTTCCATGTGTAGATGTGGACGTACAAACAAAGCCTATGACTATGGGTCAGTTACTGTCACTTCAAATAGCTGGTACCCTGAATCCCAGCTGGCGCTCGCCCTGACATCAACACATCTATGAAACATCTATTATTTTGATGGCTGAATCCCCATTCCTTACTAAATCTGCGCTGTTGATGGTTAACTCCTCGGTCTTCATGGTGAAACCACTTTGAATGGTCAAAAAGTCCAACTCCGGTCTACACTATAGCTATAGCTCACAAGATTAAAACCAATCCCCCAGAAATCCCAGAATCACAAGTTCTGATACTTAAAATTCACATCATGTCTGACATGTCTGATGTTTTATCATGATTTTCCCAGTTTTTGTCCATGATTTTCCCATGATTTTCCATGGTTCGGATCCCCATCTCTTCCCAAAACACCACAACCCCCGCGAGCGGCGCACGTCCCGACGACGGCCCTGTTTGGCCATCAACTTGGCGCAGATGCCCAGGAGCATCGCGCGGCGTGCCGCCTATGGATCCAAACATTGTCTGAGAAGGTACGGCTAACCCTCCAAATTATAGTAAATTATACCCCAGTCCCACTTCCTTTCAGAAGGTACAACTGGATCCATAGGGTATTATAATATGTTAATATTATATACTGGTTAATCGTTTTTGATTGATGAAGGTTGTATACAATGTCTGTTTAAGTGTTTAAGTGTGTGTGTGTGTAATACTGTGTATATAATTAAGGAAAAAGAAGAAACCAAAATCATACAATGCCCTACTGATCAGCAAACTTTCGATTCAACTTCCCAAAATCCTTGAACAACTGACCACACCATGCCTCCTCTGCCGAAAAGCCCGAACGTCCCAAGGACTCAGCCAGGGCCGCGAAGAAGACGCCTGCAGGCCCAGACCAGAAAACACCCAAGATTTTGTTTAGCAAAAAAACTATTGTTCTACTAAGGTTAGTTCTAAAACTATTGTTCCACTGTTTTGTTTTTCTGATGAAAAGAAGTAACTTTGCGAGACCGGGAGCTTCGTGTTGGTGCATAACAGGCCAAAAACGGTGGGTGGCATCCACAACAAGAATGGCAAGAGAGGACTATCTTTGTTCGCTGGTCTTGCGCGCATCGAACCTACTGACTGTTGCTTGGGGGCCGCAAGAACCATGTGCTTGCCACTCAGAAGAGAACATGTACCCCCAAGAGATACAAACATGCATATCATGAACATGCGTATACATATACAAACATACATCGAGGCAAATTCCCACATTTCGCAAACCAACCATTTTTGGGATATCCCCTTTTCACCATTGCGCTGGAAATGATGTCGCGACAACTTGCCCGGACGTGTATTACGAGCTCCCCCCACCTAGTAAACAACCCCAGAAGCCCTGGTTGAGGTGTAGATCTGTTCACTTCTTGGCATATAGAAATATATGCTATATCTGTCACGATTGACCATCCAATTTTGACGTATTGAAACATATTGTGCATACATATAATCATATATATATATTGTATACATCTGTATATTACTTTGTATTCCTTCCTGCCTTCCTTCTTTCATCAATAACTTATGCGTTCATTATCGTTTAGTGTGATAAACCCAATAATAAGCCATTCCCTAATAGAGGTTTAGTGTCAGGTTTACCTCATTATTATGAAAAAAACCCTGAGCTACACAATGATTTACCTCAAGGGCTGTCTCAACTCACCTGCCAGCACCCAGGTTCGCGAAGGCCAAGCAGAGGCGCGAATGGCCTGAGCTGAGGATGCTGGTGGCCCACAATTTGTCGATCTCCCACGGTTTACCATGATCTGCCATGTGTTGGGTTTGTTGCCCCCTTTTCAGTCTCATCCTTTGTTTTTTTGACCTTGAAACATGGGGTGCGAATGAGATGTGACCAACTCTTTTTCCCTTGAAAATTAGCTGTTGCAAAACCCATCAAAACCCAGAAATGCAAGAATTGACTTCGCAAGACTTGCGAAGACTTGGAGGATCAAGTCTTTGGACTATCGATGGATGGATGGATGGATGGATGGATGGATGGATGGATGGATGGATGGATGGATAATGGATAGTTAACGGATCATTCGTGAGATAGTACAAACGATTGAACCCTACATCTAAAAACTGATTATCTATGATTATCTATCCATTTATCAATAATGTGTCCATGGAATCCCAGTATGGGCCAGGAAGGGGGAAAAGTCAAACAGGCTTAGAACTGCTTCACTGGCTTCCTCCTCTTTTGCTGTGGCACCACCTATCCAAACCTCCCAGTGGGATTCTCCAGTACGCTGGGAAACCGATGGTGCCAAGAGACATCTTCCAGTTGTGTGATCATTGGATCCTGTCAGGTGAAGATCTTCCCGCAAGGAACATGTCATTGACCCGGCCCGGCAAAAAGGTACTGTATCTCTCATCTGCGAATACCACACGTAGATGTGACATATGAGCCCACTTATTTACAGATAATTATACAGAAATACATAGTGCATATACATCATTACCTATCTATATCTATATTACTATCCATTGCATAGTTATATATATATATACGTATATGATGTGTATATATATATATACATGTATAATATACACATTGATACTAGTATGCTATATTATATATATATATGTTGATATTGATACATAGTTACATAATGTTACATATATGGGTGTGTCTGAAAATGTGGTATATCCGAACAAAACTCGCGCTTGGCCGCCTCGAAGCCCATGGTGCCAGTGAGCCGCGGGTCAGCTTGCACGGCCTCAGGCTGTCAGGGGCCGAATGAGATGATTCACAGGGCCTCGTAAAATGTGTAGACCCCTATGGATCCAGTTGTACCTTCTTAGGAAGTGGGACTGGGGTATATAATTTACTATAATTTGGAGGGTTAAGTACCTGCTCAGACAATGTTTGGATCCATAGGGGACATACATCATAATACATATCGTATTGTTCTACATGATATACAGTAAGTGAAAATCATGTTTAGTATCTATAACATAGTGACATACATTACGTATCTATTTCATTCCATGTTTGTTATCTATATTTACTTATACACTTTCAGTATTTACACTGTCGAAAGTGATGAAACACACCATGACACGTGTACTGACCTTCTGAAATGATGTGGCGATGCTGTTGATGCTGTTGGTCCTTGTGGTGCTGGCGACTGGTGGCCACAGCAAAAAGGGCGTCATGGTGAGCGGTAAGCGTTGCTGATTTCCATTCACCTACAATTTCCAAAGATGAGTGGTCAAGATGAGGACCGACACTCGCATAGATTCCCAGCTAAATCAATTCATGCATTTTTTTGGAGGCCTTTCAATTGTCAGTCCTGATCCATCCATTTCTCATCAGTTCTCTATGTTTCTCTCCAGAGTCCCATGGTCTTTCAGTGGGATCTTGGAAACCAACCGGCTGATCACTTTTACCACCAAGTTTCATATCTCTCTCATCAACTTCAACACAGGGTATACAAATATCATCAAATATCACAACAAGATGGTATAAATCTGCCACCCCTCTAAAACAATATGTAGAAGGGTACAACAATCAGTTCACTTTGCAAAACAATATACATAAAGTGTCAAAATCTGCCACCACGTAAAACAATATGTAGAAAGGTATAATAAGGAACAGTTCAAGTTGGGGAAATCCTTCCTGGAATGATTTACACTGTAAAACGCCACGTTGCTGCTTTCCCAGTAGCTCTCGGCAACATCCCTTGCAGACTTAGTCGGGGTCCGTTGAAAAAGATAGTCATGTTGTGCGACAGGCGTGGGCTCCGGGCAAACATTCGGTCTTGTGCGTTGTTGAATCAGTGGCGTTGGGGTACACTCCAGCTACGGATGAACTCACACAGGGGTTTCCTAAAATAGGGCTACCCCGAGTTTTCATCCATTTCTTGATGGGTTTTCCATGAAATAAACCCTCCAGCTATTGGTGCACCCCCATGACCCCATGACACCTCCAATCCCAGTCCCTTGAGCTCCAGCACGTGATTCCAAAGCGCACGCTTCTGCTCTTCCTACCGAATGGTAGCCATGGGCGCTTCAAGGAACCCAAAAAATGGGTACCCTCTGGTAAACATACAAAAAGCTATGGAAAATCACCATTTTTAATGGGAAAACTCACTATTTCTATGGCCATGTTCAATAGCTTTTTGTATGTTTACCAGAGGGTACCCAAGGAATAAAGATGGGTCTGTCTATATAAACGTTGGGGATACCCATGGATACCCCAGCCGTGATTTTTCGAAAACCTGAACCAAACATAGACTGGATCCAACACGCTGACCGCAAGCTGGCAGAAGTTTGGACAAACCCACATTGCGCGCTGTCACCGGATATGGTGTCACCAATTGGATTCCAAACATCAATGGCTATCAATAATCCCTATCTATTACCCGTATTCTCCATGTATCCATTTACCCCGAAAATCACGCAAATGATGCCAAAAGATCCAAAAGTAAATATACCACACGCCACATGCGTATGGGTCAACTAACAGATGCCCATTGCTCAACATGCCCGGTGGATGGGTTCAACCCAGAGTAATTGGACACTGATATACCAGCTTATCGGCAATCACAAATCATAAATGCCATTGGCTCAACATTATATATATACATATATATATTCACAATTGTATGTATATATAAAGATACAATTGTGATTTATTATATATTCTATTATATATTATATACATGTTCAAAGATTCATGGTTCAACTAGTAAAAACGTGACCAATTCATATCGATTCTGTGGATCCATTGCTATCCCACTTTGGGTCGCAGCTAATTACTCAGGGAGACGGGGAATGCAGGGGTTGGTAAATGTCCTAATGTTTCACATCACCCTTAAATATTGGGGATATAATCTCCAACAGATACTTGTTTTAGTGATGTGAACCAAATCCCCAAAATGGGACATGTACCAAACCCTGAAGTTGAACGGTTGCACAAAAAGTCAGAACATGTGCTCACTTGAGGTATCTATCTTCGAGATTCTGGCCAACAGTTTCTCCCGCCACAACTTTGAAAGCCGACACTGACGTTGGCGGTTTCAATCCTCATTAAAAACCACCAAATTAGGTATTCCTTAAGTAGCAGGAATTCGAAACATCAACCAACTATTTTTGGTTTGACGGTTTGACCCTCTTTAAATATCTTTAAAGACCATTCCACAGCGCAGCACCAAGTGGCCCGGACCTTCGCCTCATGTAACAAGAAGCTGGGCAACATCCCGGTCACGCTGTCCTGGATCCACCATCCGATGGGGATTTGTCCGTTGCGGATCCACCGTTGCCGGCAACGAGGCATTTTTTTTTTGCGGATGTAATTAACAAAATATTGTGTATATATATATGATAATGTCAACGAGATCGTGAATATATGATAATATATGTTCCCTGTTGAAGTGATTATTCACGAACTATGCATGTCCAAGATGTATTAACAGGTTTCTATGCTGCCTTCTTTCTAGCCTTTTCGGGCACCAACCCTCACCCCCCACCTCCCCGCAACCTCCTGTTCTGGCAGCGAAGAAACCGACTCCAGGTGCTGCCGGGCCATGAAGACCGGGGAACCCACCTGCAACTGAAAGGCCTGGCGAAGCGGGAAAACCACTGGGGTGATCTTTTGGACCATCAAGCGTCCAAGACTAGGGGTTCACCGTCTGAAGTTAAATGCTTATATTGTATTACATATAGCTCATATACATACATGCATATGTATATACATAGATTTGTGTGTGTGTCTATACTTGTATGTATGTATCTATACATGTACATATATATATACATATATATATACATATATATATGTATATATATACATATATATATATTGGGAGAACGTGTTTGGTCGCCCCAATGCTTTTTCTGATTAGAATGCGCTCAGTGTGTTGAACACGAAAGTTATTAGGGAGCTTGTGAAACGTGCACAACTTCTGTGACACGTGCAAAAGTTCTGTGAAACGTGCACAACTGCTGGGAAACGTGCACAACATCTCTGACACAAGCACAACATCTCTGAAACGTGCACACATAGAATACTTGAAAACATTGGGTGGGGGCGGTGAAACACGTTATACCCATACATACATATATATATATATATATGCAGGGGATGTCTACATATAATATCCTAATATACATATATATATATGACCATCTATGTACAAATGTATACAAATATGTGTATCTATATATATATATGTGACTATATGTGTATATATTATATATATAGATATTATATATATATATCATACATATGTGTGACATAGGTTTTTCTTGACCTGGGAATGGGTCGACTCTTTACCCAGATGAAACGGTCGGAGGAAACGGAGGATTTCACCGGGTGGTTTCCATCAGCTGAAAAACGGGGACCCGGTTCGAAATGCCGTGGATATGATAGAAATCATATCATATCATATCATATATTTATAGAATTTTTCTGGAAATGACATGCCAACTTAGGTTGATACTAAAAATGTCTAAAAATGGTCCGACTCTATGTGTCCCCTTTTTCAATTTCATGGTTTCTTCCAAGATCTGTGAGTCTTCGGGACACCGAAGACGCCTCTTTGGGATCTGTAAAGGTGACGGTGAGTCCGAAATGATCCTCCCACCTGATGGATGGTCAAGCCCCAGGGACCACAGAGTTTCGTGTTGAGTATGAACATGTATGAACCATATTAACCATCTAATCATGAGATGAAACTCATATGTATGATTTGATCTTATGATTAGATAGTTATATCTAGTATTGACCCAGACATTTTTTGGGGGTCCCCAAGTTTGACCTAAGCCAGAAAGCAAGCATTTTCAACCATTCGAGTGTGCAAGGTTCGGCGAATGTTCCTGAATCTTTCTGGATCAACAATGGCTTCTGAAAGCTGGATTCTGAAGGATCCTTGAAGTTCAGAAATGCTCAGTGAATGACCAATTTTAGTAGTTCTTATATTGTACAAACAATCAAACATGTACAAGTCATAAGCTTGGCATTGTAACCCTGATGTTATAACCTGGCTGTAAGTTATAATTTATAGGTATAGCATTCTTAAATCCAAACCATGTTATAATAGAACCTTGATGCTGTAACCTTCTTATTACATACATATATGATGTCTCATCCTGAGAAATGTATATGTCTAATACTAAGTGAATGTGTATACACTACATATATATATATTTATTTATATGTACGTATATGGTATTCATACGTTTTGTTAAACAGTTGAAGGTTTTGGACAAGCCAGCTCCACATTCCCCGGTTTCCACTGCCAAGTAACCAGTCCAGGCTTGTACAGACCTTGGCCTTGCCGAAAGGCGCTTGAGGCCATCTACATTACATGGGAACCTTGGACCTAGGACTCACAAATGAAGTGATATATAGTGATATTATATATATATACACTATATGCATATATATATTATATATATATATATGAATGTATTATAATACACTATAAATCTATAATGTTTTTGTAATGTATTATAATATTCTATAATATACTATACTATACTGTATAATTATACATATGTCTAGCATGGTCCAGCTATCCCAGATGAAGTCTAGGCAATTGGCCACCCTGAACTGCCGTTGTCGCTATGCCAAATGTTTGCACCAGTCAAACCGCCAGAAAAAATAAGGGGCATGCCCAAGTCTACAACGTACAGTACTTCTTTAGTCTTATTTACCGTAGAAACTGCACAGATAGAAGTGGAAATTCTATAAAAAATTTCATAGTCGTTGATCGTTCGATATCGTTCGTTACTCAGAAGGCAAAGGAGAATATTGGTATGGACTCCAAACGGTGCCTTTAACAAACCCTTTTTTGGGCCAGGATCTGGAAGCCGGGATCAAGTGAGACACGAGTTCTCCAACGGCTTCAACTTGAGAGCAATCATGTGTGGTCTGGTCTTCGTTATATTCTATTCTAGTTGGGAGACAATGGGACTTCAAGATGTCAGAGAAGAAGTTGACAGCCCCATCCTGCAGCCAAGGCCTTGCCTCCGAAGGTTGCGGCGGGCTGCCGTCCAGACTAGGTAACGACATCAAATCTTGAGGACCTACGGCAGGTCCAACGTGTTCCAAAATGTCCAAAATCGTGGGCCTCTGCCAGGGTTTTCCATCCAAATGAATTTGTTGAAACAGAATGAACTATCCATTGCTCATTCAATTCAAATGAAACCATGTTGCCAGTGCTAAATCGCTGGGTTTGGCCGCCTTCCTTTGAGGTTGGTGGCTCCACGGCCAAGTCCACATGAGAGACCTGGGAAATTGAAGCGATGGCACGTGAAATGGATAGAAAATAAATGAACTTTATGATCTTCTATTCTATTTGAACATGTTCATATTCCTATTTAATTTCCCATGAAGAATGTGGATGTTAAAGTATGTTTATCTGGGTGTCTTTGGAAAATCATCATTCCAATTATGTATTTCCCCATGAAGAAGTAGATGCTTGACGGAGCCATGTTTGGCTACTAGAGGACATGAAGGCTACTTGCTCTACATGCGGAGAGCCCTGGGCTCAGGATTCGTTTGAGACTAACATGGGCCTGAGCCTGGAAGAAGTGACCAAATAAAAAAGAGCTACACAGAAAGAAAGATAAATAAATCTGTATATGTATATGTATACATATAATATACATCATATACATATACATACATATATGTATCTATATAGTCTATATATATATATTATTTTGAATATTTGTGAATGATGTACAGATATCTCAATCAACCAGAAGGTCTCTGCGCCCAAAGGATCCCAAAGGATTCGCACGCGCCATTTGAACAAACGCCGCAGCCACTCAGAGCCCATCATTCTCACTTGCGACCTTAGGGTGGGCTCTGAGACTCAGTGGTTGGGTCTAAGGGAAACAAAATGACCGTCGATGACTCGATGACCGTTTCAACACGTTTAAACCATGGTTTTTACTCCCAGTTCTCTAAGGGATGCCTGCAGATTTTCGCCTCTGTAACCTGGACCTAAGTTTCTGGACAGGGCTGCTATGTATGGTTCAAAGACATTTTTTGCGCAAACCTATACGGGTTAGTACAATGTCGAGAGAACTTCATGGTTTCAGTTTGCCTGTGCACGATTTTCATCCTGCTGTTCTTTCTCAAAGTGGGCCCATTTGATGAAAAACGGTTCACCAAAAGATCATATCATTTTTTTTACGGAATACCATATCATATTCATAGCAAGATTATCATGAATAATGGATAACCATATGAATTTTCAATATCAATTTGGCATCCCCGGCATACCCGGCATGGATTCCCGACCCATGGCGAAGCCCGACAAGGTGGTGTTGGAAGTGGAGATATTGGGCAGACGATCCATCTCCATCTCCTCCAGATCCGATACCCGCTGGCTGGGAAATCCTCGAACTGAATGAGCATTTAAATGGAAAAATCAACGAACTAAATGGGGGAATTTCCACTGCTGTGTTATTGTGTTTGACTACCAGAGGGTACCCCAAAAATTGACAAAATGGATTTTAACAACTAGAGGGCCAAAGCCCCGATAAAGAAAGGCAGCGTGCTGGTGGCCTGTTCTGCATTTGTTGCGGAGCACAAAAGGAAAGAGGATTGTACACTAGCCAATGCCCTGCAGTACTAGAGACCTTCCCCCGTCAACCTCCAACCCGTGCGATTCTTGGGATGGCAACATCCCAATGAGCCAAAAGATTACTATTGCAGCAACAAGTGTAGCTGCTTGGTCTTCGGTCTACCCCAAGTTAGGTAACCAATGCTATTTGGACTCCCAGAGCTAATGCACAGGGCCCAGGGACACGTTGTTTTTCATATGGTGTCCCTTCCATTTTCAGGATGTTTTCAAGTTCATATATGCACCACAGCTCCAGTAAGTGAGGAGATGCCACCCACAATGATGGACCTCTGCGTTGTTCCTGATACCCCACCACTATGGCTGTGTATATTTTCCGATCGGCAACCTTGAGGGACATGGGTGGTTCCAAAGCCTTGGAATCCCCACCTTGAGTTTTCTTCAACCATAACATGAGTCTCGAAAAGGGGATGATTGCCCCATTGGGCATTGTGGCCATTAAACAAATCGAAACAGAAAACAAGGTTCAAACGTTAAACACCACTGTTTGCTTGTCTAAGACACTTGAAAATACCCTTTTCCACCATACCCCACTGGGAAAATCATCATCAAAACGGCAAGAAAAACGCCGTGGTATTCCAAGATTCTCAGACTGTCCCAGAGATGCTCCGCTTGGGTTCTTGGATCAAAAATCTGATATCACTATCGTGTTTGGGAACTCCACATGTTTGGATGAGGAACTCCACTAAATATAATATATATATATATATGGTATATATCGTGTCATGGCATTCAAAAGATGTAAACTATCCGCACTGTCAGTGAAATGCATGCATTCCTCATGTACTGCTGGCTACATTCTGCATGTAAATCATGGTTAAAAATATATATATATATATATAAACAAAAAAAACTACAAAATCACAGAAAATCCCAATGTGTGCTTGCTTATATCCCATAGGATATCATGGTTGACGCATAAATTCCAATATGTGATTAGTTTACTTCCCAGTATGGACATGTTTTCATCCGGTGTTGATAAGTAAAGCATATTAAATCCCCCGTTGGTTGTTACTTGGCTCCTAATTGTCTCAAACTTCAAGGCATAAATTCTGGATGTCAATGTACTACAAAAATTATTCAAACTGATTGTATCTATAGTATTTACAGCAATATCCTTCATATTGGCGATAAAGTGAAGATTCAATTCTCCCATGATCCCCTTCCATTTCTAATCATAAAGTGAAGATCCTATGTAAGATTATGTCAATATTGTCAATCATCATTAGCCATCATAAACTATCAACCATTCATCATTAACTATCAACCATTCATCATTAACTATCAACCATTCATCATTAACCATCAACCATTCATCATCATCATCATCATCACTAACCATCATCATCATCACTAACCATCATTAATCATCACTAACCATCATTAATCATCACTAACCATCATTAATCATCACTAACCATCATTAATCATCACTAACCATCATTAATCATCATTAATTTCTCCCACATGGCTTCCCGCATTAATCACATGGCTTCCGGCCACATCCAAGGCATCGCCTTGAGCATCTCCCGCGTGTCGGGATCCACCTGGATGAAATCCGTGTTCACCTCGCGGCCGCAGTTCCATGGGGATGGCTTAAGTGCCGCGCATGGACCCACAAGAGTGGTCATACATATGATATACATATACATTTACATATACATATATACATATGTATATATATACATATGTATATATATATACATATGTATATATATATATATATATACGTGTATGTATATATATATGTGTGTGTATGTATATGTAAATGTAAATGTAGATGTAATTATATCATATGTGAAATTATGTTATATCTATACATATATGGATATTTCTGTATGTACAATATATGAGATATATTCATGATATTCTACAAAACTATATACTTGTATACATAATTATAGATCTACATATATATATATATATATACACACATCTATTGAACCATCCATTTTGAGTGGGTAATATGTTTGACCCATACCCATATGGCTCATATTGGCTCATTTAAAGTCCATGAGTCCATGACGTTGGGCCCTATTAACCCATGGAAATCACAGGCTTCAAAGTGTGAAGAACTACTCGGACCGCCGGTTGGGATTGCTAGTATATACATATACATACATAGTTATAGGTGGTTGTAGATGGTTGTATGCAACTTATCATAACATATACTATAACTACAACCATCTATATACCAAGATGGGTCCGGTACCCCGCCCGTCAAAAGAAAGATCTGCGGACGAGATGGTACGCTCATGAAATTGACCATTCGCCTCAGAGCGATCTGGCACAAACTCCATTCGCCTCTCTCGCTCCTGGCATCAGCGCTAGGCAGCGCAGTTGGCTTTGGAACATCACCATGTTCAATACGTAAACCATGAAGCTAAATGCGCCACGGCTTCCATAGTAACAAATTAATTGCGGGTACTTCCACTTAGGATTTATGGACTTTATAAAGGAATTTTCCCATTGAAACTTCCATTTGTGGGGAAGCAATCCCATTAAATCCCTCTATAAATCGCATTAAATCTCACTAAATCCATCTAAATCCCATTAAATCCCTACATGTCATGCCTAAATCCACCATTCATTGCTGGCTTTTCGCTGGAAACCACTAGTTTCTTGGATCGTCTCGTCCTCCTCCTGCAACTTCAGCGAAATGCCACGCACGGGGCCCTTTCCGATGCCTGGGGGAGAGAGAGGTGGATGGAGTGGTGAGGGGAAAAACAATAACTGTTGGAATACCAAAGGCATAATGTAGGAAAAACAATGTCATAAACCACCCATTTGGGAATGGTTTATACTAGTTTATACCACCTATTCATGGTGATGACTGGGGGATGATTTATTATTGTGTTGCCCACATTAATTGGAAAAAAATGTAACAATGGAACATGCTATGTGTTCAACAAGAAAATTGGAATAGGACGGACTGGAATGAGCAAAAACTAGACCATGAGGCTGGAGGACACCAAGATAAAGAATGTGGGGCAAGCATCCATTTGTGAAGGGGTATGCGTTCACAAAAATGGGAGTCGCATCTAAAGGCAGTCAGCATGCCAACAAAACTAACATATTTATATGATCTCCCCACGTGGCTTTGTCTGGAAATCGGCGCCCCAAAAAAAATTGATGCCAAAAAAGATGCATCGCATTTTCCCATATTTTCCCCATTCAAACGGCCATGTGTGGGTTTTTAACCCCCAACGATGAGCTTCGTCCGTCGCCAGGTCACGCTTCATGAGATGGGTGGTGAATCCGGCGATCTTGTTGCGCAAACGCTTGGATGGGATGGTCGCAACCTCCTAGGAGAAAAGGAGAACAAGAATCCTGTTGAGCTTCGGCATTTTTAATGAACAAACATGGTGGTATAATGGAATGTATATATAATATATAATATTTATACACACACTATAGACTATAGTGTATGAAAAAAATATGTAAATATATGTATGTTCTAAACATCTATATCCGCCGACCCCGGCCTTCGCCAAGGCAGGGGCGGCGCCTGGGACCACCGCAGGTGTGGAACTTGTCTTTCTTAGCAACAGGCATCCCAAGGCCACATCCATGGCTTTTTATGGGCGTCCACGCTTGCCGTTTGCCAGCCCTAAAACGCTCCAAACCCCTAAAACCACTCAAAGGCACTTCCATGGCTTCTTATGGGCTTCCAGCGCAGGCAAAAGCCCACATCCATGGCTTTTTATGGGCGTCCAAGCTTGCCGTTTGCCAGGCCTCAAACCCTCCAAACCCTCCAAACCCCTAAAACCCCTCAAAGGCCACTTCAATGGCTTCTTATAGGCTTCCAGCGCCCACATCCATGGCTTCTTCTGGGCGTCCAAGCTTGCCGTTTGCCAGGCCTAAAACCCTCCAAACCCTCCAAACCCTCCAAACCCCTAAAACCCTACAAGGCCACTTCAATGGCTTCTTCTGGGCTTCCCGCGCAGGCAAAAGCCCACATCCATGGCTTTTTATGGGCGTCCAAGCTGGCCGTTTGCCAAGCCTAAAACCCTCCAAACCCCTCAAACCCCTACAAGGCCACTTGAATGGCTTCTTATGGGCTTCCATCGCAGGCAAAAGCCCACATCCATGGCTTTTTATGGGCGTCCAAGCTTGCCGTTTGCCAGGCCTCAAACCCTCCAAACCCTCCACACCCCTAAAACCCTTAAAACCCCTAAAACCCCTAAAACCCCTACAAGGCCACTTCAATGGCCTCTTCTGGGCTTCCAGCGCAGGCAAAAGCCCACATCCATGGCTTTTTATGGGCGTCCAAGCTGGCCGTTTGCCAAGCCTAAAACCCTCCAAACCCCTCAAACCCCTACAAGGCCACTTGAATGGCTTCTTATGGGCTTCCATCGCAGGCAAAAGCCCACATCCATGGCTTTTTATGGGCGTCCAAGCTTGCCGTTTGCCAGGCCTAAAACCCTCCAAACCCTCCAAACCCCTAAAACCCCTACAAGGCCACTTCAATGGCTTCTTCTGGGCTTTCATCGCAGGCAAAAGCCCACATCCATTGCTTTTTCTGGGCGTCCAAGCTTGCCGTTTGCCAGGGCTAAAACTTTCCAAACCCTCCAAGCCCCTAAAACCCCGAAAAAGGCCACTTCAATGGCTTCTTATAGGCTTCCAGCGCCCACAACCATGGCTTTTTATGGGCGTCCAAGCTTGCCGTTTGCCAGGCCTAAAACCCTCCAAACCCTCCAAACCCCTAAAACCCTTCAAACCCCTAAAACCCCTAAAACCCCTAAAACCCCTACAAGGCCACTTCAATGGCTTCTTCTGGGCTTCCAGCGCAGGCAAAAGCCCACATCCATGGCTTTTTATGGGCGTCCAAGCTGGCCGTTTGCCAAGCCTAAAACCCTCCAAACCCCTCAAACCCTTACAAGGCCACTTGAATGGCTTCTTATGGGCTTCCATCGCAGGCAAAAGCCCACATCCATGGCTTTTTATGGGCGTCCAAGCTTGCCGTTTGCCAGGCCTAAAACCCTCCAAACCCTCCAAACCCCTAAAACCCCTACAAGGCCACTTCAATGGCTTCTTCTGGGCTTTCATCGCAGGCAAAAGCCCACATCCATGGCTTTTTATGGGCGTCCAAGCTTGCCGTTTGCCAGGGCTAAAACCCTCCAAACCCTCCAAACCCCTAAAACCCCGAAAAGGCCACTTCAATGGCTTCTTATAGGCTTCCAGCGCCCACAACCATGCCTTTTTATGGGCGTCCAAGCTTGCCGTTTGCCAGGCCTAAAACCCTCCAAACCCTCCAAACCCCTAAAACCCTACAAGGCCACTTCAATGGCTTCTTCTGGGCTTCCCGCGCAGGCAAAAGCCCACATCCATGGCTTTTTATGGGCGTCCAAGCTTGCCGTTTGCCAAGCCTAAAACCCTCCAAACCCCTCAAACCCCTACAAGGCCACTTCAATGGCTTCTTATGGGCTTCCATCGCAGGCAAAAGCCCACATCCATGGCTTTTTATGGGCGTCCAAGCTTGCCGTTTGCCAGGCCTAAAACCCTCCAAACCCTCCAAACCCCTAAAACCCTTCAAACCCCTAAAACCCCTAAAACCCCTACAAGGCCACTTCAATGGCTTCTTCTGGGCTTCCAGCGCAGGCAAAAGCCCACATCCATGGCTTTTTATGGGCGTCCAAGCTGGCCGTTTGCCAAGCCTAAAACCCTCCAAACCCCTCAAACCCCTACAAGGCCACTTGAATGGCTTCTTTATTGGGCTTCCATCGCCAGGCAAACAAAAAGCCCACATCCATGGCTTTTTCTGGGCGTCCAAGCTTGCCGTTTGCCAGGCCTAAACCCCTCCAAACCCTCCAAACCCCTAAAACCCCTAAAACCCCTACAAGGCCACTTCAATGGCTTCTTCTGGGCTTTCATCGCAGGCAAAAGCCCACATCCATGGCTTTTTCTGGGCGTCCAAGCTTGCCGTTTGCCAGGGCTAAAACTTTCCAAACCCTCTAAACCCCTAAAACCCCGAAAAAGGCCACTTCAATGGCTTCTTATAGGCTTCCAGCGCCCACAACCATGGCTTTTTATGGGCGTCCAAGCTTGCCGTTTGCCAGGCCTAAAACCCTCCAAACCCTCCAAACCCCTAAAACCCTTAAAACCCCTAAAACCCCTAAAACCCCTACAAGGCCAAACTTTCAATGGCTTCTTCTGGGATTCCAGCGCAGGCACAAAAAAGGGCCCAAACCATGGCTTTTTCTGGGCGGGCCCAAGCTGGCCGTTCTGCCAAGCCTAAAACCCTCCAAACCCCTCAAACCCCTACAAGGCCACTTGAATGGCTTCTTATGGGCTTCCATCGCAGGCAAAAGCCCACATCCATGGCTTTTTATGGGCGTCCAAGCTTGCCGTTTGCCAGGGCTAAAACTTTCCAAACCCTCCAAACCCCTAAAACCCCGAAAAAGGCCACTTCAATGGCTTCTTATAGGCTTCCAGCTGACCGATGTCTTGGGGTGTTTCACAATCTTTCATCCTGGTGGCGTCGCCACAATGACGTCATGAGTATTCCCCAATTTCTATCATCATTCCACTTTTGCGCATGGAATGCATGTAATGTACTATATATATATATATACATACGTATGTTTAACAATGTTTAGGCCTAGCCGTTTGCTGGGCTTCTTGCGTGGCTCTATGTCTGCGCACTTCTTCCTCCACCCTTGAAAAGGGGTCGGCGGCACCAGGGCGTTAGCCCATTTATTGGTTTACCCTTCGGTGTCATCAAACTTGGCTGGGAAAACCATAAAATAAGTTTAGGTTTATAATTTCATAGCTAAGAAGAAATCCTCGAAACTCAACGGGTGATTTTCCAGCAAGCTATGTTTGAATACCGGAGGATTACCATGAAAATTAAAGATTTATACAAAAAGTCTCGCCCAAATTAACATGACGACTCTGCCATGGAAGATTTGCTTTCACACAAAATTGGCTGTTTTCAGGGTCCACTTTGATTTGGGGGAATGTACACAGAGTTATCATGAAAACTGGGGCTTGAGCAAGAAATATGACATGGAACACTGGCATGATGATTTATTTTCTAAAAATACATTGGTTCCCAAAATTTAGACGCATGCTTACATAGATACCCATGTGAGCATGCAAACAACATCAAAGACATGTATTAATCTCGCAATAAAGCGAACTAAACACCAATTATATCGAATGATCTACCTGATCAAAGTGATATCACATTCCACTGATTCAGCACCATCCAACTATATTTCATTGATTTTCATTCTCTATCTCCGTTCGAAAACTACAGCAAAATTCACAAATTCACCACGGTCACCATGGTCACCATCACTAGGCTCCTCCGTGATCTTCTTGTTGACCTGGAAATCCAGCGTCAGCTTGCCATAGTACTTCTCCACAATGACCCGCGCGGCCTGATGGAGTCGTGGCGTCACTGAGATTTCGATCCGAAAAATAGCTGGCAGAACTGGAAGAAACGCTAACCTGAAATATCTTGGGATAGTTGCCCCAATCCCAATAGATCCAAATAGATTTTTAATGGATATAGTTTATCCAGATAGATCGATTTTTGATGGGATGGTGATGTCCCCATTCTTGGGGTGTCTTTTGACCCATGGCCATGTAGTGCACTTTGTAGCCCGAGTACAAAAAACAAGTATGTGAGAAATGGAACATCACCCATCGCACATGGCTCATGACTCATTGGCTACCTCTGAAATTCGATTTTTACTTCCTGGGTTTCACCAAACACTGAGAGGAAAAGATGAAAAAATCACCAGTGAACTTGTGGTTGTTGGGCCTAGCTGAAGACAACTTTCACCCAGAGAATTCGCCTTCTTCACCGTCTTCGTTCTCACGCGTCCCATGGCTAACACTACCCGGTATGGCTCCGACCCGGCGCGTTTCCCTGTGAGCCGGTGATAGTTGATATATGGATGTGGCTCAAAAAAAATGAATACCAATTTTGAAAAAAAAAATGATCCGTTTGAGGGTTAACAATCAGTTTTTTGGGTAATTTTTAAGCCATTTGAACAATTTTTCTATAAGATGAATGGGTAAGGACCGTTGATGATCAAGAAGGCATACCAAGGGATCACCTTAGGCTTAGGTCTCGCTCCCATGACTGTACTCTGGGTCGGTAAGGTGGTAAACCATTAACCCAATAAACTGGGCCCACGAACTGACCATTTGAGGGTTCTTGTAAGAACATGGTGTACCTGCCCAGGGCACCCATAGTAGAACTGTAGACCCAAATGGATGTGGATCTGAGTTCTCCAGCTTCTGCATCCTGGTGGCTAAAGACATCCTCCTGGGGGCGGAGGCTGTGAAAAAAGATGGAGCAACTTGCCATTTCCAATGTCAAACGCCGAGGATGGTTCATTGTTTTTCGCGCAACATGGGGATGGAAAAAATATGGGGAAAAAAAACATGTTTTGCCAGCCTCGGTCTTTGAATGAGCTGGCAGCGGGGCGATCCACTCTAAAGTTTAGAAAATTTAATATGTGCCCTTCGTAGCAAATGCAGCACTCACCGCATTCTACCCAACAAGTGTCATGAGAAAGGGCTGTGCGTGGCATCCGGGAATCATATGCGGTCTTGGCCTAAGATCTTCCAAATCCATCAAAACAAGGAAACGATCCTAACGCTCAGGCACCCCATTTTCTTGAACCTTGAGCGCCTTGAGTTTGGGGGTTCCCAACCTCAACCGCCAACTGGGGCCTTGTCACTGGGCCATTCCAAGTGCACATAGCCCCACACTGAGATCCCATAGCGTGCCTCCTGAATGCAGCGTAGGGACAAACATCTGACACAAAGGGAGTGGTCTAAAAATAGTCCCGTCTGGGGCCACGAATTTAGTTGTTTTTTTTGACTTCAACCATCCAAGTACCCGGAAATAAAATTGTTGAGAAAAAACATGCATCTACAAAAAAAAGTTGAGATGGTCCGAATCAAAAGGAAGATAGGTGTGTCCATTGTCAGAAAATCCAAGTACTCATGGCATCATGACTTCTGCTAAACTGCTATACCTCCCCGTTTCTGGCGGAGCTCTACTCTCCATAGCTTCCCCTGAAACCCTAGATTTAATGGATATTTGAGTCATATTATATATGGTCTCGTGTTCCGTGTTTCCTACCACCCCAATGGTATGGGTCTCCAGGTAGCACCTCCTTCCCTTCTATTTGCAAGCTATTGGCAGCATTTCTGAGGTCCAGCCTTGTTTTCTAGGTACATGCTTCCTTTTTAGACGACCTACGTAGCAGACATACTCCCTCAAAGTACCTACGTGCTACCTATAGTCATATATATATACATGTTCTATGTATCTACTTCCTATTTACTACCTGTGTACTCTCACAGCACTACATTGTGTTTAAGATATCTTTCCTGCATACTAGGGACTTACTACGCACATGCTTCTATATCGTACTTATGAACTACCCGTATACGATCTAACGACGGTCTGTACCACCCCACCCCCCCTGGCCCTTACTACCATAATTACTGTACCATACATACCAAAACCTACCAAACCTACCATGCATACCATACCAATCATACATGCCTTACTCTGGTATACATACCACACATACCATACGCACTTTGACCACACATACCATACTTATCATACCTATCATACATACCACGCATACCATACATATGAAACATAATTACCGCACCTACCATACATACAATACCAAACATACATGCCATACATACCATACATACCATACCTACCATCCATACAATACCAATCATTCATGCCATACATACCATGCCTACCATACATACCAAACATACCATGTATTCCAAACATGCCATACCAGACCGACCATACACACCATACATACCGTCATATCAAACATACCATGCCCAACATACTTACACACCACACCTACCATCCCTACAATACCAACCATACATGCCATACATACCATACCTGCCATACATACCAAACATACCATACATTCCAAACACACCATACCAACCATGCATGCCAAACATACCATACATATCAAACATGCCGTAAATAAGATAATTACATACCATACTCACCATACCCACCATGCCATATATATTGTCATACATACACTACACCCCCCCCAGGGAGGGGGACAGTACTATGGCTGACCCATGACCATGGCCGGGGGGGTTGGAACGCTGGACCATATATATATATATATATGTATAATATATATATATATATATATGTATATATAATATAATATATATATATATATTTATATATATTTATAATATATGTACATGTAGTATATATATATATATATGTATAAATGTGTATAATATATATATATATATTTTATTGATTTATAACATATATATATATATGTGTATAATATATATATATGTGTGTGTAAATTCGCATGTATATATTTTGCATTAATCAATTCCCCAGATTTTGTGAATCCTGTATGCATAAACCCTGGTTGAAAAAAGCACGGATAAAATGGATCATTTACGGTAAACACAATAACCCATATTAATCCACATGAATCCACCTGAGTCCTCTTGTTTCTTGGGTTAACCACATTAACCCTTTTACCCCAGCCGTCCAGGCCCCCCATGGCCAAATCGTCCTGCGGTTCCAACATCCGTCGCTTGAAGGCGGAAGGCAGTACGGAGACCACCGCTTCGGTGCTGCCCGAGAAACCTACAGATTCGAGTAACTTGGTTGGATAATTTTGCGATATATATATATATACATATATCATATATCATATATTATAATATATATATATACATATATCATATAATATTATATATATATATATATATTATATATACATATATATCATATATCAAAACATATATCATATTTAAATATATATATATATATATCGTATACATATATATATATATCATATAATATATATATATATATACACATAATATGTATATATATATATATAATAAGTGTGATCACAGTACTTATGCATACCCAAAAAAGGCTGGCTGGCTCGAGAAAGTGCCCCATGATCGTCCGGGGTAATCATCTGTAGTTGCTGTGGGTATGGATCATCTTGACGATATAATGTCAATCCATGGTTTATTAATTAATTAGGGGGTACTCCTCCAATAGTCATAATCTGATACTTAAATGATATCCTCCCAATAAAACAGCCTAGATGTTTATTAAATCCAGGGTTGACATTAGTAGCATATAACTCATATAACTGAATATAGTAGCCTTCCCAGCTGGTGCCCAATTGTGACATCCAAACACTACTGTTTGATGTCGGTTCCTCATATTGGACTACTGCTATATATCATGATATATCCGAGAACTTTGGGTGTATTCATAGTATACATGTAATATAGCGATCTACCGTAGATAGACACAGGAGATCGGTAGATAGGTAGATAGATAGATGGCTACATGGATAGACGGATAGATGGATCGATAGATAGATGGGTAGATGGATGGATAGATAGATGGATAGATTGATAGAAAAATAGATAGATTGATAGAGTATTTTTTCTTAATTGATCAGTTGTAGATTCTAGTTATATATATATATATATATTTATCATATTGATTCATATTGTATCCATTGACCGTGGCACATATTATTTTCTGTAAGACTGCAGAAATCTGAGGCAGCGCACAGAAGCGCATCCACAATGGTCTTTTCCGTGCCTTGTGGTTCGACCGAATCACCAGATCGGCTGGACGGATGGATGGACCAAGGGCCCTTTTGAGCCCAAAAATCATGGGCCCATGAAGGGCGCAAAACAAACGTCTTTCTAGAAAAGTTGATGTTGATAGTTGATAGTTGATAGTTGCTGTTGATAGTTGATAGTTGATAGTTGATAGTTGATAGTTGATAGTTGATGTATCTTCCAAATTTGATATCAATTGATGTTGATAGTTGATATACACCAAAGATGCAGCCAACCATCACTATGAAATCAACCATAAACGACCACAAAGTTGCTGCTTTAAAACACTGGATACAAGCCGGTGCAGCTATAGAATCTTTTTTCCCCAATTAAAACCTTGCCGCCAAATGTAGGAATCCCTCAAGCTTAGGGACAAAGCCATCATATCTATATATATATATACAGTATGTATATATATATATAGGTACAGTATGTTTATATATATATATGTACAGTATGTATATATATATATACATTATATTCATATATATATATATACACTCCAATATACAATATAATATATATATAACTATATATATATATATGTAACCAGATATATATGAACTATATACCTATTATGTATATATAAAACTATATTAAATATATATATTATATATTTATAATATTACTTGCGTCATGATATTTTTCATGGCTATCCCTGGCTATCCCTGGCTATCCCTGGCTATCCCTCCACTCGCCTGCGAAACTTCTCTTCCTTGGAAGGCCATCAGCAACGCATTGGCCGCGGCCGCCGCCTTGGCATCAACAAAATCATCAAAGATGTATTCAAATATGGGTTTTAGAAGATTTAACCCATATCTAACCAACAAAGATGTTTCGAGATATTTTGAGTCGACCATCAAAATTGGAATTTCTTAACCAACAATTCAATGGCATTCAATGGATTGGTGTTATGGAAATCTACAGGAAAGCTAGTTTTGTACCCTGAAATATAGGGCCTTCCTGAAGATGTTCAGTTAAACCAATACTGGGAGCTATTGAATACAACAAAAATTGGGATATTGAGACTGGATATCAATGGGAGAACATCGCATATTCATGAGATACCCGACATACCCAAAGGAATCAATCGTTCAAAATATTTTCCTGGGAAGAACACAGATGTTCCCTTTGTAGGGTTGTTGACTTTGGCAGGGTATCATACTACTTAGATGTACTTACTACTTACAGTAATTGTCCATACAATCACTGGCTTCCGAAACCAAAACTACTCAAGGGGATGACACTCCTCACCCCGGACAGGGAAACCTGATGTATCCGTGGGGATTCTGCCAACCTTTGTTACAGATTCTCAGAATAGGTGGGATTCTACAATCAAAAGCTAGAATTGGTTCTCAGCTTACCGTGCCCATATTCTGCATGGGGTGAGAGCGACCAAGATATAGCCCAATGGCCCAAATGTTGGAAGCTCTTCCACACCTGGAGAAAATTTGAGTTACGGTACCTAACTTCCAGATCTTATTGACGTCATACCATCATGAACCAGTCTTCACCGAACACAACTAACCGCAGATGTCCAAGGGATTCCCAAGGGCACCCTGGGCACCCTGACCTGCACAGATGCTTTGCGCTGGCACCATTTTTGAAAAGCTTGCGCTCGACGCTTGGCTGCCTCAGGGTATGTTCAAGGCTTGGAATAACTATAGACATCTATCATTCATCTATAGACTATAGATGAAGATCTCAAAATAGTCACCAATCATTTGAGGCAACGGTGAATTACCCAAGTAGCTATTTTGATTGGGCTGAAGTCTCAATATTCAAAACGAATGTGTTTGATCCTAAAATCTACAGAACAAATCCCAAGTTGTTGCTGGGAAAATTCCGTAAACTCCCTGGTTGTTTCGTGGTAAGGATTCCCCAGTTGGTTGAAAATCCTCAGTTGGTTCTGCACTGCGGGCTGCCTCCAACGCTTCTGCCTCCGCCTTCAGCCTGGCAGCCTCTTTTGCCTGGGGATCAGGTACAAATGCTATAGAAATTTCTTTGAGAATCAGTTACTGTGTGTTCCTCCTTATTTTTTTCATGCCGATCAACATGTCAAAGTCCTCATTTTTTTCATGCCTGATTCAGCCTGATCAACATGTCAAACAAATTGTGGGTTTGCCCATTGAAATTGCCCACCTCCAAGATACAGAGGTCGTTGTGCGCTGCCGCGCGCAAGAGGAGCACCTGATTGGGTTTTTCAGGCCGCAAGGTCAGGCGGCTACAGCCCAAGATATCTCAGTTGGCTTTGTCCAAAGGATACTAGCACCGATACAGAAACTTATCACAAGATATCATACATTGCTGCTATTTTCATAGAGAAAATGAGGTTTTGACCCAGCGGATGAAATGTGGTCTCCGATTTCCAGACACAATCACCTAGAAGGGAAGGGAGGCAATCCACTCACGAAGCATTGTTAATTTTCCAGTGATCTAAACTTTAAACACTTCTGTCGTAGGGAGACAGGGAGGGAAAAAGATTGAGAAGTTGACTCTTGTGAGCGATAGCTACTGTGAAAGGATTCATGGCTATGGGTCAAAACCCTGCTGTACCTACCTTGATTTCCACATCCTCAAATTGAGCAAACTAGTCTTTATTGCAATATTCATCAACCATCACGGACCCAAGTGGCTGATGGATTTAACCCATCCCACAAAGATTATGAGTTGGGAATATCATTCCAACTATGATCCAAACTTCACGGCATATTCATCAACCACCATCAACCAAGTACTGGTTTTGTTGCCATATGACTGAAACAAGAATGTTTGAAACTATACTCTCCAGTAAATAAACATAGATAGGGAAGTCTCGCCATGAATGTTTATCATGTTCCGAATTTAAACTCGTGAACTTCCAGATTGATTTGTGAATTTTGACCGGAGGATAGATGTGGTTGGTAAATTATTTGTATTAGTATAATAAATGCTTTGAACATGGTGATGATTCATGGTTCCAACCCCAAAATAGATGCCGAAAAGTTGGATGTCCAGAAATTATGCTGGGAACATCGTCGAAACCCTGTTCGGCATCTGAAAAAAAAAACAAAAACGTCCTTGTGATTAGCGATTCCTCTCCAATCAAACATGGTTTGCTGGAAAACCTATAAACCTCCAGTTAGACTCCAGTTAGTTCGGAGATTTTCCAGCCATGTTTTTTCAGTACCGCCCCATGCCCCTTTTGGCCTTGGCTGATAGAAGCACCGCAGGAGGCACCTTTTTGTTGGGTTACCGGCTCGGCCATGACCAATGGATGGGCATTTGACCAACCACTGTGGGTTTCACATGGTTTCGCCATGAAAAATTGAGTCTGAGCCATGAAGAAACAAGGGATTCGACCAACAATTTTTCTGCGGATTTTTCAGAGGATTTTTCAGATCGGGAAAAGCTGGACCAGTTGAACTTCTGGTAATCTGACCTGGCTTGCTTCAAATCCCATAAACATATGGATACATACCAGAAATGTCTCTGCCATGTTTGATAACCCCAGGGCCTCGGGGTGGACTTCCTAGCTTTGAAACTCTTGGGATTATCACTTCAATCCTCACCATGTTTGGTGACCTCGGCTAGTCGCTATCCCACCTCCGGGTTCTTCTCTGGATGCACCTGCTCGACGGATCCGGGATACTCTGAGCACATATCATATATGTATATATATATATGTATATATATATATGTATATATATATATAATTATATATATATAGATTATAGTAATCCCCACACAGAAAAGTTCCATGTATCACCACGGGGGGATTTCACTGTTCGGCATCTTTTTAGGGAATAGAAAAATGCATGACACCTGAGACTTGGCGGAAAAATCTCCGGCAGAGTCTAGGAGAAATCCAAAGCACCACAGACTTTTAGCAAAACCACCGAAACAGTGTGTTACAGCAACAAAAACTGGGGGAACTCAAACAAGCAGATATGAATATGTATTGAATATGTATATATAATGGGATGTATAAAACGAATTAAAACGATGTGATTATATGTGATTATCTAGGTGTGTCTGAAGGGAATTAACATGAACTTACCTCAAAAAAAGGCTTTTGAATAAGGAAACGTCGATCACTGGATTTGGGGTGGGCTGACAATCTGCCCCAAATGCAAGCAGCTTCCCTGCCCCATTAGACACACCCATGCAGTTCATCTGCGGGTCAAAATTGGTAGCCGTTGAAATTGGGTGGTTAATAAATGTTAGTAATTACAAAAACTGGGTAGATTATAATAATTCACTAACCTGAATTAAGGCCATTTTTGGATTATTCCCCTTACTAACTATGATTATAGTGAGGTCGCAGTGAGGTCGTTATAATTTACCCAGAAAAATGACCCAGAATTTGTCCCCGCCAATGTGGAGCACCCAGCCCGCCAGTTGCTGGAGCAACCTCCAAGTGCCTCTCGTGATCTCTCCTGAGCGTCATGCCGGTGCACAATGATTGCAATCCGCAACAGTCCTAAGCAGTTGTTTAAACCCCGTACAAACCATCATAGACCCATCGTTTTTTGGCTACAAGGTGATGCCCAGCTATAAGTTGGTTTACAAAACCATGAATATCCATGAATTATAGTTTTAATCCCTGACCGAACCCGAGTTAACCAAGTTATGTGAACTTCGCTATCTGACTCTCAACTGGATGGCCGAGCATCTGTCGCTGGAGCATGGCTAAGGCCAACTCTCCCGCATTGCAGTGAATTCCACGGGAGCTCAACCAGGAATAGACCTGGGAACTGGCTGTCATCATATCCCAAACAGATCCAAACCATTGATTAGCGATCTCTAAAACCACCCAAAATGTGAGATCTTGGTATGGCTCAGAATTATTTGGGTGGTGGTTTCAAGCTTACTGACAAAGATTGGTCATCGGACATTATCATCCAAGATAACCCAAAATGGGAATGAAAAAAGCAGCATGCATGGAACCACCACGCAGAGGTGACATGTTGAGGGATGTTGACGCGGAGAGTGAGCCTTTGGCAATTTTGAGACCGCCTGGAATGAATGCCGGAGTGATGGTTGCTTTAAAGTCTGGAAGACGAGAGCATTCCGTAAGGGATGATGAAGGTGATGAGATGATAGATGATGATACCTAATTAAGTTCTGCGCATGTAGAAGGACGAGTGGAAATTTCGCAAAAGTGAGATCTGAAAGGAGTCTGCCCCACAACCCAGTGGCTACCCTCAGTTTCCACAAGAATTGGGACCTAGGAGATGCGTGCCAACACCACGTAGGGGTACCTCCATGGAGTGGGTTTCCATGTGGATATTTGGATTTTATGAAATAGACAAAGGAATTGTGTCAATCCTGTCCCGTCTTCCAAAAAATGAATTGATGTCAAAATCAGTGATATGCTCACATGGCTGGATCATGCAAAGCTAACGGTAACGCTTCAACTTGGCGTTTGCAATTGCCCATGTGTCTGAACTGCGGATTTCGTGTGAATGGCTTCCCAACATATGTGTTCTATATTTTGGATATTTTTGGGTAACAATCCGATCCCACTTTTACTACTTACTACTCGTTTATCTTTTTTCTGGGTTCACTGCAACTCACAAATCAGAAATAAGTTGTTGTGGAGATGAATGCCCCTACTATTAACCATCATTTATGGCTGACCTCATTGTGAGGTCTCTATGGTCAACCCCAGATCAATAACCCCTGGTTGATTAGGTGGCTTCCCCCCAAAGACTACCCCAATGATCAACATAAAATCCGGGTTTGACACTAAAATATCAGCTAGAACTGGCTCCTCCCATCTTTTAAAATCACCCCCAGCCAAACAATTACATCAATTTTCATATAATTCATCCATATTACCTTACACGTTTTCATATACAAACTATCTATATTATGAACCTATCACATTTTATTCATCATATTTTTTTATCATTCATATGATAAAAAAAAATATGGGGGAATATGATGGGAGGAGCCATAATATAAGTAAGTAAATAGAAAAGATATTATAACATAATTTTCATAGTAATTTATTATAAAAGTTATGGGCGCTTTGCCCATCCGCGGTATGTCTACTACCACTTTCTGTACCATGTCTACTACCATAATTACCCCAGATCCCATCCCCTCCACCAGATCGCCAAGCTGCCGCTGAAGGCAAGCGCCCCTGACGGATCCATGGCAACCTTTGCATCTCCCGCCAGGCCCGCTTCACGCGCAGCCGATCCAAAGGCGTTAAACCCTGCAGAGATCGCAGGGGACGATTGTGGAGGGGATTTTTCGGGGTTGTTTGTGGGACTTTGCGGTGTTGTTTAATGTGGGTAAAACAATAATAAACCATCCCCCAAATCACCATAAATAGGTGGTATAAACTATTACCAAATGGGTGGTTTATTATTGTTTTTCCCACATTATATATAGACTTTACGAGAGTTTCTGGATCTATTGGTTATTGGATTTTCATGGATTTTGGCGGATTGTTTTTATATATTTTGTTGGATGTTTATATTATTTTATATTCGTTTTTGGATTTTGATACGGGACATAATTGGATAGAAAGGGATATGATAGTGGATAATTTTAGGCAACAGAGATGGGGATGTTTACCAGACAGAACGGGAATATAATGACACTGGGATATTAATTGCACGCAACCAAGAACTGTTTATGTCAATGGATTTATGGTAACCAGACGATAGTTGGGAGTGTAAAACCAACACTTTTTGTGATGATATTTCAGAAGAAACTTCAAGGGACCTTTCATTGGATACCAATCGGATATCACCAACAAGGTCAAGATGCGACAATGTGATACATATGATGGATTTGTTTGTGTGAATTTCGTATGGCATTCTGGTGTTATCACGGTTTATCTATGGATTGAATGGGCAATGATTCGAAAATATGGGGTCGATGGGTATCTAACCACCAATCAAATGGGATTTTATGACCGATAATTCGAGGGCTAGAGCGAACCATGATGGGGATATTTCATGGGATTCCAAAGAGAAGCAGCTTGAAATCCATCCATCTTATGGGAATGTTTACAGTCGAGATATTCACTTCAAAATCAACCCAGTGAATTTGCCTGTGGATCTCCCGAAGTCTTGGGTCACAGGGATTAAATCTTCATTGACGGAGAAATCTGCGTTTTTTTATGGTCAAATGCACATGAACCAGAAAAAATTACCACGGTTGATCCTTAAATCCAGATGTTTATGTGCAAAATGTGCTTCGTTCACTCATTTTTTGCTTGATAAATGCATGTTCTTGCGTCAAATCCCGTTGTAGAAATTAGTTGAATCCCTATGAATGGGGGTGCATCCCACGAATCGTCAATGGCTACCCCCAGTATCCCCCAGCTATATATGGAATATCCCCACTTAGGTTCGCCTCCAAGGGATCGCCCGCTTCTGAAGCTTGCAAGGGCTCCGGCCCACCAGCAAAGAGATCCTGAGACAGCGGATGTTGCCAGAGCATGTAGATGCACATGTGGGTAGATAGGTAGATAGATAGATAGGTAGGTAGGTAGATAGATAGATTGATTGATTCATTGATTGATAGATTGATAGATTGATAGACTGATAGATTGATTGATTGATAGATTGGAAAGATTGGATAGATTGGATTAGATTAGATAAGATTAGATAGAGATATAGATAGATATAGATAGATATAGATAGATAAAGATAGATAAAGATAGATAAGGATAGATAAAGATAGATAAAGATAGATAAAGATAGATAAAGATAGATAAAGATAGATAAAGATAGATAAAGATAGGTCAAGATAGATAAAGATAGATAAAGATAGATCAAGATAGATCAAGATAGATAAAGATAGATCAAGATAGATCAAGATAGATCAAGATAGATAAAGATAAATAAAGATAGATAAAGATAGAAAAAGATAGAAAAAAATAGATAAAGATAGAAAAGATAGATAAAGATAGATAAACATAGATAAAGATAGATAAAGATAGATAAAGATAGATAAAGATAGATAAAGATAGATAAAGATAGATAAAGATTGATAAAGATTGATAAAGATAGATAGATAGATAGATAGGTAGAAAGAGATGGATAGATAGATATAGATAGATAGATATAGATATTGATATAGATATAGATATGGATTTAGATTGAGACATAGATATAGATATAGATAGATGAGATGAAATGAGATAAGATGAAATGAGATAGAGATAGATAGATAGATAGATAGATAGATAGAGAGACAGATAGATAGATAGAGATAGAGATAGAGATAGATATAGAGATAGATATAGAGATAGATATAGAGATAGATATAGAGATAGATATAGAGATAGATATAGATATAGAGATAGATATAGATATAGATATAGAGATAGATATAGAGATAGATATAGAGATAGATATAGAGATAGATATGGAGATAGATAAAGAGATAGATAGAGAGATAGATAGAGAGATAGATAGATAGAGAGATAGATAGAGAGATAGATAGAGAGATAGATAGAGAGATAGATAGATAGATAGATAGATAGAGAGATAGATAGAGAGATAGATAGAGAGATAGATAGAGAGATAGATAGATAGATAGAGAGATGGATAGAGAGATAGAGATAGAGAGATAGAAAGAGAGATAGATAGAGAGATATATAGAGAAATAGAGAGATAGAGATAGAGATAGAGATAGATAGAGAGATAGATAGAGACATATATAAAGATAGATAGAGACATAAATAGAGATAGATAGAGAGATAGAGAGATAGAGAGATAGAGAGATAGAGAGATAGAGAGATAGAGAGATAGAGATAGAGATAGAGATAGATAGAGATAGATAGAGATAGATAGAGATAGATAGATAGACGGATAGATAGATAGATGGATAGATAGATAGATAGATAGATAGATAGATAGATAGATTAGGTAGGTAGGTAGGTAGTAAGGTAGAAAGAAAGATAGATAGATTGATTGATTGATTGATTGGATAGATTAGATTAGATTGAGATTGAGATTAAATTAGAACAGATAGATTGGATAGATTAAGGTTAAGGATGAGATTAAGATTAAGATTAGGATTCAGTTTGAGATTAGGATTAAAATTAAGATTTGGATGTGGCTAGAATTGATTGCATTAGATTGGATTTGATAGATGCATACAGAGATTGGGAGATAGATAGACATTGACACCACATGGCCCCATGTTGTTGGTGATCAAACCCCCGCGACAAACATGGTCACCCAACACAAGCACTGACGGAGAAATCCCACAAACGATGATGACTATCAATTGTATCCTAATCCAGGGAAACTCCTCTGTCATTCTTGAACTCCCAAGAGGATCCGAGTTGGTTGGTGGTTCCAATTTCCCTTGTTTTTTGACGCCAGCAAATCAACGTCATCTTTCAACACACCAAAAAAAAGAAAAAGAAAGACAGTCTCAAATCTCATTCACATCACATCCATTGCATTGCCCTTATCAAGTATCAGAATGCTCCAGTATTCCTCCCTGTGTCCAGCGGCAATATCCCCCAGTTGCCTCACAGAACGAGATGAGGTTTTGCGCTGCCTGGTGAAGCAGGACATGGATCTTGGTTGGTTTGAAGTCAAGGAAAAAAAAACGCTGGGAAAAAATCGATGGTGTCGTCCGTAAACTAACATAGCTATGGAATGCTATGGAAGCGCCCTTTTGTAGATGACCTAGTAAAGACGGAGGATTTTCCTGCCGCTGCCTGAAAACGACTCCAGCTTTCGACTAAATCAGCGATGCAGCTGAACACTGCAATGACCTCAGGGAGTTCGACGAAGGTCAGGGGCCCGGGCCCATAGAAGGGAGGTAAAAAAAAAGTCAACTTATGGGGTCTTTCTTCATGGATCATTGGAAAAAATTGCAACTTTGGGGCCCGTGGTATCCTCCATTTTTGGACAGCCCCAAATAAGGGTTTCTGAAAATTGGGGACCCAAGAATCGTCCCAAAATTGGGGTTCTGAAAATTGGGGAAGCCAATGCTTTTGGGGTCCAACATTCTAGGAAACACCCAAACAGATCTCAGTAGCTGTTGGATTCCTAGCACTTAGCTAATGGATGCTAATGGAACGTGGGAGGCAAACAAAACTAATCCAATAGCATGACATTGATTCCCTAAGTGGTGGATTATATAGCCATCTGGAAAAATCGCATTATATAAGCAAAGCGCAAGACATAAATTGTGGCGTTGGAGTGTGACCCTTGCCCACTTCTTAACTTTTTCAAGAAAAAGACACATTGGACAATTGGACCAGTCCCTTTACACTGTACAACCGGAGGATTCTGGTCCAGTTGTCACCAGGATGATTGCCATGGCCACACCAGTATCCAGACTCAGATACTCGGCCAATTTTTTGTCCGGGTGAATTGACCCTGCAACCATCAGTGTATCCAAACTCAAGCGAGCTGATTCGTGCCTTCAGGATCCAACATGTCCCTGACAGATGTGCTGTCACCTCCATACCTGCGTTCGATTCCCAGGGCTGGCACCAGAAACAGATGCCACTTCAAGACCAAACACATACTTACACGGGTGGTCATCCCACATGTTCAAATCATCATCCAAATGCATTCTTCCGGGTTTCATTTTAGTTTCTAGAGGTTCAATCGTGGCCCCAAAAGCCTTGTTTTCATAACCATACTGGCGACGTCATACTGGCTGTGTTCGTGGGATAGGTGGGACTGGCTACCACTGTACTGGCGGTTGTTCAAAAGGCCCTCTTATTGGTCTAAAAAACAACTAAAATTAGCCCCCGTGAACCAAAAAGACCTTGTGAAGTGCACACAAGTGCAAATTGACTCTTGACTTTCCTCACACAATGATGGATCATATCTTGAACAAAAACATGATGGGTGTGGGATAGTATGCGGGATGGGATCGGCAAAAACTCCCCAAAAATCCAAAATTCTCCACTTGAGCAAGGTTGGGAAACTCAACCATCCAATTTGAAGGGTCCTGCTTTCTGATCCATGGATATACAGTATTGGCTCCCGGTTTCTGAATCATTCATGTCAACAGTATATAATGAAATCGGAAAGCAAAGAAAACAGCTCCTTTGATCTCCTTTGAGATGTTCAAGCACACATCAACATGTCATGCTTCATGTTGTTCAAATCCCAGGCAGCTTGTGACATGTGCGACTCAATCATGCCCCGTATTGTTCCCTTCAACATCCACCATTGTTGATTCCTACTGTGGAGAATCAAAAAAAAACACATCCCCAACTTTCCCTCATTTCACCATTTTGTAGCGGTATCGCAAACTGCACCCAAGAATGGATTTATTGGTGCGTTTACCACTGCCTCATTACCATCACCAATCAATTGAGCTTGTCGCTCGAATTCCTATCAGCATGTCCCATTTACTGTAATTTGCCATAGGTAAAAGTAAATCCACCATTTTTTGACAAACCCAGTTCTGTGATTCCCATTAGATTAATTTCTTTGATAGGCTAGTTTGAAATTGAAACCGAAAAGTTTTCGCGGTGTAAACCGCATATATCTTGCCCCATTTCAATTGCTGGTATTTTGCCCCATATCTCATGGAATAGCCCCAGAAAAATGGTTGGATGTTGTACCCAATTTTTCTTGGTAAAATCCCAATTAAAACCATACATAAAACCACAATTCCATAGAATAATCTTACATAAATCAACCATAAATATAGCAATCCATTAACATAAACATGTTTCAAGTGTTCATCCCATCAATATCTTATTATCATGACATGTTCATAAAGCGACCTGGTAGAAAGCTCCCATTTTGTTGGATAAATCCCTGTTGAAATGGGAATCCAAAGATCAGGGGCTATGGAAATTCACCATGTTTGATAGGCAGATCATCACAAATCATCGATTTTTCCATGGCAAAGGGTTCAATAATTAGAAGGTAAATCCGTCAGGAATTCTATAACCGTCTCCAAGAACTCGGCGACTGGCCATATCTTAGATGTTCTGGGAAGATAGTCCCAGAAAATAAAATGTGTCCCCAAAAAGACTCCCCTTTCAAACTGTGGATTTCGTATTGGGAAGATTAAAAAATAAAGATGATTAACTCAAAATTTATACATATCCCATATGATCCCTAATCTTCTTCCACTATACCCCTATCATATTCCATCCCATATCAACCGGCTTAAATCCCTATCTTTCCTGGGAAAAAACACATGTTCCGCAGCTTTCCCATGGGTTTTCCGTCCACCGTGTTGCCGAGGGCCACCCCAGGTGATAACCTGGCCATCTACTTTCACTGCTGCGAAGGCCCCCGCGGTGACGTGCAGATCCAAGACCTGTTCGTTGAGCTGATCCTTCACCGTGTCGAAGAGGACACCTGGGAGAACATCATCGAGTCACTGCTTCAGGGGTTGGATGTCACTGAGGTCAATGGATTGGTTCAGAAAATCGAAACCGGAAACCATCGATTATTGAAGATCATGGGGTTGTCCTGTCACTTTTCCCTTAAACCAATCCGTTCACCGGGGAAACATCTCCAGTTCGATGATGATGACGCTCATTTATTCTATGAATCATAAAAATATATCTATAACTCTTGGAAAAATGGAAGAAACAAGTGACAATTGAAGAATCATCATCGGTTTTTTTAGTACCATCAATATGTACAAATCTGGAAACAAATCATGGTAATTTACAAGATTTACAAATTATCATCTGAAATATAAAAATGGATAAAATCAAAAAAAACACGGTAATTGACAAATTATCATCTGAAACAAACTATTTTGGGATAGTTGCCCCTTAGCATCATTTAACCAGCCCTAGAAATTGTTTTAAATGTTGATTTAAACAACAAAAAATTGGGTATTCAAAAATCACTATGGGACATAACTGGATATAATGGGATAACCACCAAAGCTGACCCCGACATATGGTTGGGTTTGTCAAGGCCTTGTTGACCATCAACAACTAATAAGGGCTTATCAACCATCTATTTTCGGCAGTCACCTTTGGTGAATCCCCAAAATGGATGAGAAGTGCAGTAGAAATAAATTTGTATATTTGTTTTGAAACTTGCTCACGGCTTTTCATCTGTTATGATGGCTTTCCTGGTGTTCTTATTTTGTTGAGGACTGTTGTTGATGCGATTCGTTGTGCTAAAGGCTTCCATTCAACAGACCTTCGCCTATGTGTGCAAATCATATCATAGCATATTATAGCTTATCATATCATATTATATTGGCATTTCACCCAGAACCCCAAGGGTTTCCACCCAGGAGACCTTGCCACTCGTCATCAGAGCCCTGCACAGAGCCATCGCAATTCCTCAGCGAATTTCCGTCAGGTTGGAATGGTAACATGTATAGCATATATATATAGAGAGAGAGAGAGATTGTCAATGTCAATCTATATTTCACATAATATATATAATATGTAATATGGTATTATATAATATAAGATAATAAAATGTAATATAGTATACTAAAATATGATATGATATAATATAACACAATATAATGTGATATAATATAGTACAATATAGTACAATACGATAAATATATACATATAATACAACACAATACAATACAATTTAATATAATAATATAATATAATGTAATATAATATAATATAATGTAATGTAATATAATATAATATAATGTAATATATAGTTTATATATAGTGTATATATATAGTGTGAAATATATATATATATTGTGTGTATATATAGTATTGATATAGTACATATAGAGCATATTTATATATATAAATAGTGTGTGTATATATATATAATATATTGTATATATAGTATCCCCCAGGAAATTGTTTGTAGCAAATGAAATGAAATGAAATGTGCTGACCCCCAGGAAATTGTGTGTAGCCAACTCGTATTGGCAGTCTGTGTCCATGATTGAACCTAAAGTTGGATGGCTTTAAGTGGGAAATAAGCCTAGTGATCGAGGCATTGACAACCCCATTTATCAGTGATACGTGTCTCGTCGTTCATTAGTAACCCCCATTCTGACCCATACCTGTGTGACTTCACGTTGGGATACTTTAGGGGCATGAATTGGTACTGTTCGATCTCTTCTGTGATGCTAGGAATATTTGGGAATTGTTTCTGAAGACGGGGGGGTTCAAATGTCATCCATTCTTACAGAGGAACTCTTGGATGAATGTGGATACAGTAAATGAGTGCAAACAAATAACATCAAACATCATCAAATAACAATACTCCAGATGGACAATAATACTTAGTGAATGAAAGGGAGTTTAAAGGGAGTTACCATCTCCAAACATGATCGAAGGAAGTTTAGAAGTCAAACTTCCGACAATATGGACAGGTACAAAACACACCAGGTTCGAACCACTCTTGGAAGTTGAGATGTCGAAAAAGTGCACGCCGTTGTGGCGCGAAGCACATTTCAAAGTCAAAATGTACAAAACACCACATGGTCGTGCCACTTTTGGAGGTTCAGATGCCGTTTCGAGTGACAGGCGCAAGGGATGGGGCACTTCTCAAAAGTGAGCAAAACGTGAGGGTTTTGTGCCATTTCCAAAAACGATGGCAGGCGTGGGACATTTGAAGAGGATCTGCAAAGATGCATTTTCCGTGGCAGGCGCAGTACAAGAGAAATCTTCATCGGAGCTGTTAGGAGGTCCGGGCGGTGATTTCCTGAGAGGGGTTGCATTTTGGAGCATCAGATCTTCAGGTTTGCTGAGATGTTTTTGCGTGACAGGTGCAGCACTTCGTATGACCTGGCATCACTTTTTCGTGGCAGGCGCAGTACTTTCGACAGGTGGACTGGAAAAATCGCAAAACGCATTGGTACGAGGCCGTCAGCTCTGCACTCAACTTTCCATTTTTGAAGGAAGTCTCGCAGAATTGCCTTGTTTTTGATGTTGTCAAGTTCAAAAATTGAAGAAGTCTGGCAGAATTGCTTCGTTTTGGATGTTGTCAAGTTCAAAAAATGAAGAAGTCTGGCAGAATTGCTTCGTTTTGGATATTGTCAAGTTCAAAAAATGAAGAAGTCTCGCAGATTTGCTTCGTTTTTGATGTTGTCAACTTCGAAAAATGAGGAAGTCTCGCAGAATTGCTTCGTTTTTGACGTTGTCACGTGCAAACATTGAGGAAGTCTCGCAGAATTGCTGCGTTTTGATGTTGTCAACTTTGAAAAATGAAGAAGTCTCGCAGAATAGATAGGTTTTCAAGCTTGCAGATAGACAGGTAGATAGATAGACAGACAGACAGACAGACCGAGAGATAGATAGATAGATAGATAGATAGATAGATGGATAGATAGATGGATAGATAGATAGATAGGTAGCTAGGTAGGTAGCTAGGTAGGTAGCTAGGTAGATAGATAGATAGATAGATAGATAGGTAGATAGATAGATAGATGGATAGATAGATAGATAGATAGATAGATAGATAGATAGGTAGCTAGGTAGGTAGCTAGGTAGGTAGCTAGGTAGGTAGCTAGGTAGGTAGATAGATAGATAGATAGGTAGGTAGATAGGTAGGTAGCTAGGTAGGTAGCTAGGTAGGTAGATAGACAGATAGATCGGTAGATAGATAGATGGATAGATGGATAGATAGATAGGTAGGTAGGTAGGTAGGTCTTTTGTAGGTAGGTAGTCAGAGAAAAAGAAAGAAAGAAAGAAAGAGAGAGAGAGAGAGAAAGAGAGGAGACCTCAACCACCTGTCGGTCCATCAGTGGCTTCGCGCTGTCATCCGTGACTCACAACAACCAACGTCTCCTATAGGTTACAGTAACTATTTTTGCAACTTCCGCCACCGCCTTGTGAGGTACTACTGGTTAAAGTTCACCCATTGCCAAGTCGTTGTGCTACAGATCGTACCACATGGCCCATCTTGTCCTGATTATCCCTTTTACCTGGCGTCCACTAATCAGTGGATACCCACCAGGTAGCACAAACAAGTCATGACCAGTCTGCAAAGACCATGGTGAATCCAAAACGTACTTCAAGATACTTCAAGATACTTCAAGATCTTCCCGGCAATCAAGTTCATCATTTTCCCCAAAACAATCATCAGTTGGGGGTTTCCATAAATGGGGGTACCCCCAAATGGATGGTTTATAATGGAAAATGATGGAAAATGCCGTTAAAATGGATGACTCGGGGGTACCCATGGGTACCCTATTTCAGGAAACCTCCAGTTTGTGGTTGGCATGGCCATTGCAATCGAAACTGCTGATGAGTCTCAAGGCTGCCACACCAAATTTGGTGACTGCCACGCTCACCACGTCTCTGAAGATCTGCGGTGCTTTACCTCGTCCCCAGAGAATGGCAGAGTGATCCTTCCGCAAAGCCACAAAGCACTGGAAGAAGGGACCTGAGCTGCGCCGTGAACTGACAAAAAAATAGATAAAGTAAAATATTTAGCTGTTAATCATTTCAATCAAATTTTGAGCTATTCCCATATTTTCCCATGGCCCATGCAAGTATCCAGAAATGGAGATACAACATGTGAACCAACATGAACCAACAAGAATGGATTGGGGGCAGCACCGCCCCTATACCCAGCCAAAATTGAGATAAAGCCAACGACACATGGTGAAAAATATGTACCAAGCACCATCCAGGGACGAATCTCCTTAATGTCAATGAGCTCTGCGGAAATTGCAATAGAATCTCCTCGCATGTCGCAGCACTCGTTCAGAGCACAGCTGGCTGCGAATTGACTATCTGTGGATGATATTCTGGTCCGTCATCATGTTGCTGATTATGATTGTAGCATAATGGTGATGATGGTTGGTCATCATAATTACCACCATTATTCTGGTGTTATATTTAAGGTCTTTGGCATTGTCACTTCTGATGATGTGCATAACGAGGACTATCAAGGTCAATAAAAAATCATCATGCATCCCATTGCCATGTTTGATTGCCGAATCATCCCGTTCATCCCGTTCATGCCGTCTTTGAAACCATCAGAGGATGATCTAGCAATGCTAGGCTACGATTAATTGTTACGGTGTATTATATATATATATGTAATTATATATATATATATGCAAAATGTTTACTATATAATTCGTCCTTCTATTCCGAATTTTGGTTAGTAAAACTTTGTTACAGCAACCCCCAAAACCATACAAAAGGTTAGATTTAACATTATCTTTGAATCGATGGTTGCCGATGTTTTTGGGCGGTATATTTCCTGTACTAGAAACCACTTCAAACCTCATTGGAAACCAACATTACGACTAATTGAAAAAAAGAAAAGTTATCATCTCAATCACATGTTCTTCTTGATTTATGACCAGTATTTCCAGTAAGTTTCATTAAAAGTCCTGCTGATTTTTTATCGTGAAATCAGATTGTTCTTCAAAATCACGAAATCCGCCATGGATTTTCTGCAAAATCACCAGATTCATGAAAATCCCCATGGATTCTCTGGATGTTCAGCAGCATTTCTTGGTGCTTTTCAAAGCCGCTGTCCTCCTCCCTTGGCATCTCCCCAGGTGACCACGGAGCCGTTGTGCCGAAGACCTGCGAAGGCGCAGTCGTTGCCTCGGTGAACTTTGCCAATTTGATGGTGGAAACTGTGGATGGGCCAGCGAAATCCAAATCACCAGCTGATGGATATATTAAAAAGGGGTGATACATATATTATAGGTACATATTGTGGCTAGTAGGGGTGAAACATAGATGGTAAACCTCCCATTATTTTGTTGGGTCCCATTATTTTGTTGGGCTTTCAACCATCCCAAATTGGTGGTGCAGGATTTTTTTCCCATCCACAGTATCATGAAATATATAACAAAGATTTTAAACCAAGTATATCCGATTTGGAATTTGTGAACTGGTTCGTAAGTGATAACCAACAATAATGGGAATATGGTGTTGATATAATCGAAACATCATTAGCATATATCAACAATGTGATGTTTGGGTGTGCCTGAAAATGGGGTATACCCCCAAGTGAGTCATAAGCAAGTATATACCAAATTTAAATGAATAATCCAGTTAGCCGACTGAATTCCCACAATTATTCCATGTATGGTTAAAGCCCCATTTATCAGTGGTTAAACAACAGTGTGTGTGCTTTGTTCTTAGATATCATTCACTGTTACTTAAACCCCATTGATTGGTAAATATTGGAGTCTATAATATACATATATATGTGTATATATATATATACAGTATATCATATATACATATACATGTATGCATATACATGTATATTATAAACTCCAATATGTACCTATAATATATGTATCACCCCTACTAGCCACAATTCCCTTTGTTGGGTAAATAGTTGGTAAAGATTGAACAAGTATTGTCACCATTTCATTGTATTATCCTTAGTAAATCACAGTTTATCCATGTTGGCTGGGGTGCCCACCATGACTATCCCGCTCATATTTGGTGATTGAATAGCCTTGTTGGTTGAGTACCAATCTACCCCATATGATCCCATATTGATTGGTATATCCCATCAATATCCTCATCATATCCCTCTAATTGTCAGTTAAATGATTTGAGCATCCATTTCCAGTGATATATTGCTCATATATATATATATATTATACACTGTATATTTATATATATACACCATGATCTTACGTAAATACCATTCCCAAATAGCATACTGACGGCGAAATTCCCATTGTATCAAGTCCCCAGGATATATATGTATACCATAGTCCAGTTGAGCCCTTAAAAATAGCACTATCCCATTGAAAATTACCGTATATATAGAAGTTGCTCGAAAACGGTTTCCCTAATATGGTTTAGTTCATAATCCCCAATAACCAGGTATTAAAACTCCTTTTTGTACCCTATCAACCATCATGTCTCAGTTATGTGTCCTATCTTTGATAGCTAAAACCCCCATAAAACCACTCTCATGGATGGTTAAATCATGTTAAATCAAATCTCCATGAAATGAACCAATCAACCCAGGGAACTTCGTTGCTCATCCTCCAAGATCTGTTCCAAGGCACCCACCACTTTCACCACACCCGTGGCCTCCTCGCACGTTCTCCCACCCGCCAGAAAATCGCCCCAGGACACCACTTGGCCATCCGAGCGCAAGGCGGAGAAGGCGCTGGAGCTGGCGGAGAGCTCCACCACGGAGTGCAGCTGCTCCTGGACCTCGAGGTGAACCTTTGGGATCCTTTGGGCCTTTGGGATGGAAACTATGGAAACCCCACAAAAATCTGCCAAAACCCGCAAGGAATGCCGATTTGAAGTGGATTTCACCAGCAAACCCCATCCAAAAACAACCAAAAAGACAAACTGGCGATTTGAAAGGGATTTTGCCGGCAAAAACCCAATAAAAACAACATAGACCAGCCAAAAAATGTGATTGAAGTTGACAACTTGTACAGCAAGCAATGAGGATCCATGAAGTATCGCCAACGTATCGCATGTCAGATTGACCACATCCATTGCTCCCTGAGTCTCCAAAAATAGTAAATTTACTAATTTTCAAAATTTACGTAAATCGAAGAATTTAGGTTTAAAAAAAGTTTAAAAAACCAAAATTAGTAAATTGATTTAGGTATATACCTAAATCAATTTAGGTTTATACCTAATTTTCTTCAGTTTTTTGAAGCTGTTCTTTTTTTGTATATTTTTGTTGAAAAACATACAAAACTAACATGCCCAAGTACAAAAAGCTCAAGTAACATACACAAGTCCAACAGAGAAAACAGCAAATAGAAAACAAACATGTTCATTAGAAAGAAAATATCATCAAACACACGACCATCACCACAATCAAACCAAAATAAAACATGTAAAACAGTTTTACAATTGAACAGTGCCAACACGACACACCATTCAAAATGTTAAGAAAACCAACAGCAAAAACTTCAAAAAAAAACAATAAAATCAATCAAACAGTATTAATTTATATACGTGACAAACATGACAAAAAAAAATTAGGTATATACCTAAATCAATTTAGGTATATACCTAAATCAATTTAGGTATATACCTAAATGTTTTTCAATAGTAAATATTTACTAAGCTAAGTAAAAATTTACGTAATTTTTTCGACCTAAATCCAAAAAATTACGTAAATTTTTGCCGACCTACATTTTACTATTTTAGGAGACTCAGGGCTTACAATTCAAAAATCATAGTCGCAAACAGATCGTCTCTTGCCCCAAAAAAATGGCACCCCCCAAAAAAAATGAAAATTATGAGTCGAGTGCTATGACATAATTATCCTTCATGTGTACATGTGTAGCTGAAAATTAAGCCATAAACTACCCTTCAACAGTCATCTTGCCCATCTGCGAAATGTCAACTGCCACAATTCGTAGCTCCTTGGCTCCCCAATTGTCAATATGGAGACCCATAGCCGATAGCTCCAAAAAGCTACCCCCTAACCACAGCCAGATCTTTTTCAGTCCAGGAACCATATAAGATCCACCTCCTTCTGCCACCACACCCCAGGACACCGTGCTGCCATCTGCCCGTAAGGCACAGAAGGCACGCTGCGCCGCACAGACCTGCCGAACGTCCTTCAACTGCTCCGCGACACGACTGCAGTCGCCGCCTTCACAGCTGTTGCCCCAGCAAACCACCGAACCATCGGCCTGCGAGGACGACGGTCGCTCAAAAAAAAGACTGGTCCTGGAAAAGATCAAATCGGCCTTCCAGAGCCATCCAGCATTTTCTCGATCACTTTTGTCATGGGCCAGCGGCCGGGTGACTTGTCAGGGGCATAAATCCTGAATTTGGGTCAAGCACGTGCCTCAAGCCCCATTTTCTCGGTTCTGCCCTCATTTCTCTTCGTTTTTTCCGACTTCTCACCACCTCCAACCCGCCTTGAGAGCTGCAAACGCACTGTGGGTGGCCTTGATTTCCCTCACCTCCTGCAGTTGCTCCTGGACCCTGCTGCTGTCACCCCCGAAATTCTCGAAGCGGGGACCGCCCCAGGAGACCACCGAACCATCGCGTTTCCTGAGGTCCGATGGGACAAGATGAAGCTGTAAAGAGAATGTATACTCTGTGCAGTGCATATATAAAAATATACATAAATATACAATATACATATATTTGATCATAGTGTTGTTTTATCCTCCGGCAATCGATTGGAAAATCCACCACTTATAGATGATTCTCCCATCCAACCCCTTGCCGGGTATGACTACCGGATCGTACGAGGATTTAATCAGAAACCCTGATGTGAGTGGAAAAGATCGTCTAAACCCGTACAGCAACCCATGGATGTCGCTGGTTAACAGGATTTGTTCCATAGGTTTTGATAATTTTCAATATATAATGTATAGTAGTATAGTATAACCTCATAAGCCAATCTAATCACAACAATGTATAAAAATCATCAATCAACAGGAGGGTTGAACACTGCTGAAATGTCCTGTGATTGGTCAATACATCATTCAAAATTGTTTAAATGTCCCAATAATGTTTTTTTTTTGTTTTTTCGGTTGGGATATACATGTTTACAATGTTTATAAACAATGATATCCCATTATAAACAATATCCCGATGATATCCCCATGTATGTGTTTTTTCCGTTGGTTCAATCCCCCAGTCCCCAGGTGCTCATTTGTTCGTCCGTGGCTCAACGCTGCAAAAGATTTCGAGGTGGCATAGATGGCACAAACATCCGCCTGAACCGGGGCCCTCGGCTTCCAGGATGCTAGGGCATTTTTTGTTTCCATATTCAGTACTTATAGAATCTTATAGATACTTATCCTGGTTGGTGGTTTCAACCCCTCTGAAAAATATTAGTCAGTTGAGATAATTATTCCCAATATATGGGAAAACAAAAAAATGGTCCAAACCACCAACCAGTATATGATAGTATATACGAACATGTAAAGGTTCTACCCCCCCTGTTATTTGGCAAGATCTCAATGTGTTGCCACGTGAAATCCCCATCAAGAACATCGAGCGGCGTCCGAAATCATCGCAAAACATCGAAAATAAATCCAAACAAACTAAAACATCTTCCCCAAACGTCATCTTTAAAAGAACCTTCACCCCAGTCTGACAATGGAGTTTACCCCAAAATATCTATTGAGATAGGGAGAGCTATGATAACTGTGATTCAATTATGATTAGTAACCCTATCTTCACAACAAAATCATATGGTCAATCATGATATCTCAATTATGAGTATCCCATTCATATCAAATTTAGGGAGGTTCCTGATCCTTCAGACAAACATAATACATCATATTAACCCAAATATGATTAACTAACCATGATGAAGCATCAAATTTCAAAGGTGTGTTCCCTAGTTTTTTTGGAGAAAAAAAACAACTCCTGCAGGAGTTGGTGAAGGTTCTGTTTTGGGGATTTCTTTCACATCACTTATCTCTTGGAGATTATATGGAAGTGTCCTAAAATGAGCCCCAAAGTATCCTTAACCCATGGTGAGGACTGGGGGATCCCCAATGACTTAAGAAACCCCCAGAAAAAAAAAAAAATATTATATTATATTATATTATCATATTATATTATATTATATTATATTATCTTATATGATATTATATTATATTATATTATATCGTATTATATTCTATCATATTATATCGTATTATATTATATTATATTTTAACATATTATATCATATTATATCATATTATATCGTATTATATTATATTATATTTTAACATATTATATCATATTATATCATATTATATCGTATTATATTATATTATATTTTAACATACTATATCATATTATATCATATTATATCATATTATATTATATCATAGTATATCATATTATATTATATTATACTATACTAAATATTAAATTCAATATTATATATAAATATTATATTATATTAAATATAATATTATATTATATTATATTATATTATATATTATATATTATAAATTATATATTATATATTATATATTAAATATTATATATTATATATTATATATCATATATTATATATTATATATTATATATATTATATTATATATTATATTATATTTTATATATTATATTATATATTATATTATATAGTATATATTATATTATATGTTATATTATATATTATATATTATATATTATATTATATTATATTTTATTTTATATTATATCAAATATATATATATTATGAAATATATACATATATATATTATGAAATATATACATATATATTATGAAATATATACATATATATTATATCATATATATTATTATTATATGTATATATTATTGGATATATATTATATATACATATATATTATGAAATATATACATATATATTATATCATATATATTATTATTATATGTATATATTATTGGATACATATTATATATACATATATATATATATTATCATATATATATATTATCACATCCATTCATATATCCCCAATAGTATGGTGTGAACAATGTCGACAGGGCCCCAAGTCTTCTGCGCCTCAAGTAGGGGCTTCACCTTGCTGCGATCCGCTCCATAGCCAGCCTTGCCCCAGGTGCACACCGAACCATCCGGACGCAGCACCGCAAAGGCTCCCACCGTGGCCCTGATTTCGCCTCGAAAAAGCGGTGGTCAACGACAAGTGGGTCATGCTCGAAGCAAGGAAATCTGGATTTCACCAAGGAAAACAAGTTAAGATGATTTGACGAAAATTTGGGGATTTGTCTATAGCAGAAATGATGAGAAACGTTGAAGTTGATATGAATATTAATCAATAAAAATCTGGAGTGTCAGATATTTACAGGATCTTACCAAACTGTGGGGAGTTGGGAAGTAACATCCCAAAAATGGTTTGACGTGATCTAACCCATGAAAATGTGAAGTTTACATGATTGTGTGCCAAATTTCGGGATTTGAACCATCAAAATCAGAATCATCAAACTTGGGGATTTCACCAGCATGATCTGGCCTGGCCAGACTTTGAGATGCTAAATCTAACGTCAAGAATGGAATTAACCAATGAACATGTGGATTTAAAGATGATTTAACATGGCTTAACCAAATTTGTGCGAGATTACTGATATTACCAACAAAAAATGTGGGTGTGAAAAACATGCATCCAACCTTGCACCAATAAAACCGCGGTTCGAGCAACAAACAAATTGAGGATTAAACCAAAACAAAGGAAAAAATGACCAACTGAAAATCCGATTGGACAACAATCATAACCATTTTATGGTCATAGTTGCTAGTTATATAGCACCGTTCATCCGCTAAATCAAAAAATAGCTTTAAATCCTCATTGAATCCTCATCAAATCCGCATAAACTTCCCATTAAATTCCATCACATTTGCAGTAAATCCATCTAAATCCCATTAAGTTCCATTGAATCCCAGTAAGTCCCATGAAATCCTGCATCCCCATGAAATCCCCATGAATTCTAAACGTCCACCAGGCTTCAGAAGTCAGTCAATTCCTTGCGGAAACTTTCACTGCAGGCAAGGCCGCCCCAGGCAAGCACCTCGTAGGTCACAGCTTGGCAGATGAGCTGTAAGATGACCGGTAGATGACCTATCTGGTAAACTAACATAGCGAACTGGACAATCACCATGTTTAATAGGTAAATCAACTATAAATAGTTACGTTAGTTTACCATTTAAATACTATAAATAGGTAAATCAACTATTTCTATGGTCATTTTCCTTGACAAATCTTAATTTGCCAGAGGGTGAAAAAGATGCTCTAAGTATACCCAATCACTCATAAATTGGTATATTATATGGTTTTGTCTGAAAATCGGGCACACCCAAATCCACTCGTCAATCATCATTTTCATCCTCTCAAGTTGCTTCAAACCCCCTTAGGGGCCATTTTAGATCCCAAAAATGGTTTCTAAAATGGAATCTACAAGGGGGGGTCTTAGAACCCAAATTTTTGGCAGCTATTCCGTTTTTGGGTTCTAAAATTGGTTCTAAAATGGTATCGTCCACTCTTTAAAAATCATTAAAAATCATTTGAAAAAAAACCTTGTTGAAACCATCACATTTCAGGAAAAAACGATGAGGAAATCTGCGCCCCCAAAATAGATCAACATGAGGCGAATCAAAAAAAACACTGCAAAGAGCACTCCATGATACTCCACAACATTTTTCAGTGGGTGGCGGCCACAGATGGTCGTGTCATTTACTACCTATAGAGCCAGGTTTTTGCCCGCAATCTTTGCTTCCTTTCTTGCCACGCCATTAAAGTACACCCGAACCCAAATGCCTTCAGAATGTCCCCTAAGTCACCCCTTTTCAAATGAATTTAGTTTTGGGCTAGTTCCATTTCCCGTGCGACTGTTTGTTTAATTTTATGCAGACATGTCCAACCAATGATGTTTTCAATAAAAAAGCAAACTCCTACATGCAGTTTTTTCAAAACAATAGTCTTTTTGCGTCAAAGGAGAAAAACAAGGAACAAATCATCACATGCGGAATCGGCAAGCAGCTGCGTGTGGAACTACAGCTGTCGCAGCTGTCACTTGAAAAAATGGTAAGTTTGCCTACCTTCATCAGGATGGAGATCGTAAGTGGAGGCTCACCACTGACTGGACACTTGTTCTTTTGGGATATTTGGGGGGGCTGGGCAGCTATGGCACAGAGATGTCACCCTAGACAATGCACCTTGAGGATTTATCTTTGGGAAGGGTTCTGGAATGGTTTCCTGCTTGGCCAAACGTGTGAAGTACCAGCTACTGCAAGGGGAAACCATTTTAGATCATTTGTATGCTTAGATAACTTACATATGATCATTTGTTGCACAGGCACTCGTCTACTTGTAGAAGAGCAAAAGATGGCAGAAACAGTTTCAGCTGACTTGATTATCCCTGAAATTCATTGGCATTGGGTTGTACCTGCCTTCCTACCCCTGGAGGTATTTATCTTTGGGAATGGTTCTGGAATGGTTTCCTGCTTGGCCAAACGTGTGAGGTACCAGCTACTACAAGGGGAAACCATTTTAGATCATTTGCATGCTTAGGTACCTTACATGTGTTCTTTTGTTGCACAGGCACTGGTCTACTTGTAGAAGAACAGAAGATGGCAGAAACAGTTTCAGCTGACTTGATTATGACTGAAATTCATTGGCATTGGGTTGTACCTGCCTACCTACCCCTGGAAGTATTTATCTTTGGGAAGGGTTCTGGAAGGGTTTCCTGCTTGGCCAAACGTGTAAAATACCAGCTACTGCAAGGGGAAACCATTTTAGACCATTTGTATGCTTAGATAACTTACATATGTTCATTTGTTGCACAGGCACTGGTCTACTGGTACAAGAACAAAAGATGGCAGAAACAGTTTTAGCTGATTTGATTATCCTGAAAATATCCCTACCCCTCTAGAGGGGGAGGGCGGGGGGGGGACAAAACCAACCTGTCGAATTCCACTTTTGCTTGCTTGGAAACCCTGGGATAGTGATCCAACCCCTCAAATGGAATTGTAAAGTAACATTTCTTAACAAGCCTTGGGCACTGGTTAGAAAATACTTGCGCTTAGCTCCTCCGAAGCTAAGCGCAAGTATGATGACGGCAGCGCAATTTTCGGAGGGATGCCATCCCTACACATGCGCTGCTTCAGTCTGATATGTGCTTGGCTCCTCCGGAGCTAAGCGCAAGTATTTAATTTTCATCTGCTTGCCAATGACATGGAATGATGAGGAATATTGATCATTGAGAAAGCATGATTGCAAAAATGGAACTTTAAAATGAAATTTCAGTACTTCTCCCCCCCCTCAAATTCCATTTTTAAGAGGGTAGGGATCTGAAATTCATTGGCATTGGGTTGTACCTGCCTTCCTACCCCTGGAGGTATTTATCTTTGGGAAGGGTTCTGGAATGGTTTGCTGCTTGGCCAAACGTGTGAGGTACCAGCTACTGCAAGGGGAAACCATTTTAGACTATGTGCATGCTTAGGTACCTTACATATGATCATTTGTTGCACAGGCATTGGTCTACTTGTAGAAGAACAAAAGATGGCAGAAACAGTTTCAGCTGACTTGATTATGACTGAAATTCATTGGCATTGGGTTGTACCTGCCTACCTACCCCTGGAAGTATTTATCTTTGGGAAGGGTTCTGGAATGGTTTCCTGCTTGGCCAAACGTGTGAGGTACCAGCTACTACAAGGGGAAACCATTTTAGACCTGTTGTATGCTCAGATAGCTTAGATAACTTACATATATATGTTCATTTGTTGCACAGGCATTGGTCTACTTGTAGAAGAACAAAAGGTGGCAGAAACAGTTTTAGCTGACTTGATTATCCCTGAAATTCGTTTGTCTGTCACTACGGCTGTTTCCAGTTGGGGAAAATTTCTACCTACCAATTTGCCGCTCACTTCACCTATTGGGCCCTTTCTTTCAGAGATGTTGAGCTAGACAATATTTGACCCACGCCTTTTCGGAATTACAATAGGCAATTCCACAATAAATCAAGAAAACAGCCCACATGCAAATCTCTAGCAAATGCATGTGCATTTTCGACGCGGGATTTTGCAGCCTTTTGTGACACAACATGCAAAAACAACTTTATGTGTGCCTCAGGTGAGGGCAAAAGAAGCAAACGTGCAAAAAATAAATTCAAAAAACAATGCATTGTTGCGATGAATGCACGGGTAAAGGTACAGCTAACCACTTCAAATCTGAGCTGAACCCACAAGTTCCCCCAGTCAGAAATGTTCTTGCAAGAGATCAAGAAACGAACTGAACTGTGAATTTGTCAATTTTTCTACCGTGTATCTGTGTATAATCCTTTTGGGTTTTTGTGCCAAATGGCATTGGTTCGGCCATATTGTTGCGACATAGTGCAAGTGAGCCTTGTAAATCACCAAAACCATAGTTTCAACAGGAGGATCCAACTGGCAAATTGCTTTCAACCACCGGCTCACTAGGGATCACAAATACATGCACAAAACCTGCACCATATGTCATCATATGCTATTATACAAGCTTCCAAGGTTCTACAATGCTTACGCGACCGGAGGTGCTACAATGATTTTTTTTCATTCTAGAACCCTCCGTGTTTATCCCCAAGGGGGGGGGCATTCTAGAACATTCCAACTTGAGCCTATTCATTTTCTCTAGTAAAATAGCCAAAACTTGGGGACCATCCATCAGTATCAGGCCCACACCTGTATTGGCAAAGAGACGCATCCCAAGATCTCAGTACAGAGTACAATCAATGAGAGTGATGTTTCAACCTGGTACATATACTAAACTGGTTCAATATCCGGTGATATCGCTTACCATCATCCATGTTGTGTCTCCCATGAATATCCATCAATAATTTTATAATATCTCCATGATGTTTCCATGACTGAGTCCATGTTCAACCCAAAACCTAGGATTTTTTATTGGTGTCTATTCATCTCACGTACGAGTATTCCCCAAGATTCCCAGTTCCATCTGTCTAGATATCCCCATCCTGTATAATCCGCCTTATCCCCATATTCCCATCCAATCATATACCCTCAAAGCAAAGATCCCAATAAAATCTTACCAAAATTCGACGGTTTTTCCCATTCACACCCCATGTTTCCCATGATTTTCCATGTTTTTCCCGCCATTTCCAGTGGTTCCCCAGCCCGGCATTGCGCCTGGCCATCCGTTCGGATCGCCAAAAAACTGCCGTCCGGCGCCTCGTTGCAACAGCTCAGCGGCCAGGCATTCGCGCCCGCAGCAAGCGCCTGGGAAATGGATATACCATAATGTTATCTATCATTATAGGATTATCCATACCTGGTACATCCTTAGCTTGGAAAAAAACAATCTAGAGGGTTACCAGGCATATACTTAGGCGCCTCGACACGCAAAACCCAAAACGCAAAACGCTGCGCGCCGAAACGCGGTCCAAAACGCAGTATGTGGGCTTGGTAAATACGCATTCGTGCTTTCATATATGAGCAGCGCTGGTGGTATGAAATTGTTTATCTCGTATCATATATGGTGTATCGTGAAGCAAATTAGAAGAAACAAGCTTTTAGGGCCTTGCTACTTTTGCCGATGCATGTTAGTATAAGAAATAAACGCATTGGCCAATATATCTTCCATATACATATGACCATTTATTCTGGGCATCATCCAACAATCGATTTGCCTCTCAGGATGTCATTTACAACCTAAGAACCCTTTTTAACCGGTTCCTTTTCAAAACCGCTCGCAAAGCGGGAGTCGCTGCCTCTCGGGGAGGCTGCTGTGGCCGGTTGTCAGTTTGGGGGAGCATCACCACGAAACCCTGCAAACCATCCTGGATGCGTTTTTTGGGGCATCAATACGCATTGGGAACCCTAATGACCATTTATTCTGGGCATCATCCAACAATCGATTTGCCTCTCAGGAGGTCATGTACAACCTAAGAACCATTTTTAACCGGTTGCTTTTCTAATCGGCTTGCAAAGCGGGAGTCGCTGCCTCTCGGGGAGGCTGCTGTGGCCGGTTGTAAGTTTTGGGGCCATTGAGGCAAAATGCCTACCAATGCATTTTTCAACCGATTCTTAATGCATGAACTTATGCTGCGCGCCGACACGCGCCGCGGCGTGTTTCCCCACGCGCGCGCCGGAACACCGCGGCACATGTATATATATATATATATATTGTATACATATATATGATGTATGGATAGAGATATATACAATGTTTTAAGTGGGATTGCCAATGAACTACAATAATTAGTTTATGACATATACAATGTATATGTATATACATAGAGAGAGAGAGAGATAGACTGCGAAAGGGGTATTAACTATTAACTAGTGCATATTGTCTATACAAAAGATATTCTGAATATAAGATCTAGAAACTGTTGACTAATATTGCGCACAGACCCTGTGGCTTGCCCACGAACAGAATAGTGTAAACACCAATGAATTCTTACCAGATGAACATGTGTTGACCAAATTGAGCATGGCATTGCGGCTTGGCAAGAGACCTGTACCGGTACCACTATTAGGGTTCATTTGGGGTGTACATGACATAATATCTCCCACTCCCATGGAACAATTAACCATACTGGAACTAGGGTTTGATTTAGGGTTTACATATATCATATGATATAAAATATCCCAACCCCATGGAACAAGTAACCATACCGCAATAATAATAGCAATAATAATAATAGTAATAATGATCATCATCATCATCATCATCATTTCCAGTTCCGGGCAAACCATGGGGTCTTGTCGCAATATTGTATATGACCTACATTGACCTACATAAAATATTTGACTGTATAATATATGCTCCTAATAAACTAGTTGACATTGTATAACATGGTATAATTTATGGATATGTCATGCAACTTACCAACCAATATGGCTATGGGTCAGGGAATTCACTTCTGTTCACCCCGTGGGATCTCTGGATGATGCGCTTTTAAGGCTATGACAAAGTGCAACGTAGCTACGACTGATATCGTTAATATAAACAACTAAGGACTATATAATATACCTGAAAAATGGGGTGTAAGATGGTGTAAGCAACATAAGTGGTACGGAGCTGGTTGTAGTATTGCGATGTATTGCAACAAACTAGCTGTGCAACAGACCTTTACTTGGAGATGGTTTAAATGAAACCATGTCTGGCCAAAATTGGGGATCAATTCTTGTTGGGTGTAACTGACACATCATTTCTGAAACGAATCCGGCAAGTTGGGGATTCCCCAATCCAGAATCACCATCTGGAAAAAAACGATCATTGTTGACCATTGTCAACCACTACGAACCATCATTGACCATCATTAACCTCTATACTGTTAGTTCTATATATCCCAGTATATCCCAAAAAAAAAAACACCATAGAATTCCAGCTTAGATATTCTCTGTTTTACTCAGTGTACCTGGATCATATAAATAATCATTAAATTACAATAATTATTATACAACATCACTATTGATCCCTTCCCCCTAATACCAACCCCCCCCTCCCCAAATAATAAACACCTCTGTCAGGTAGTTTTTATTATTAAGGGGGTATTGATTATTAGGGAACCCTATTAATAAATTTAAAACCTTACTAATAAAAACGATTTTTTCCGCTTTCAAAATCAATTAAATTTCCTTTTATAGCGCAATTAAAATATTGCCAAAATTTGGATTTCGAAGCGGACCCTATTATATAATAAATTTAAAACCTCAATAATAAAAACGATTTTTCCGATTTCAAAATCAATTAAATTTCCTTTTATAACGCAATTAAAATATTGCCAAACATTGGATTTCGAAGCGGACCCTATTAATAAATAAAAAACTTTAATAATAAAAACTAGTTTTTTTTCAATTTCAAATTCAATTAAATTTCCTTATATAACGCAATTAAAATATTGCCAAAAATTGGTTTTCGAAGCGGGGCCCTAATAGTAAATTAAAAGCCCTAATATAAAAAACTAAAAGATTTCGGACTGACCCTAATAATAAACACCCTGGGGTTGACTAGTTTTTTTATTAGGGGGCGAAACCCACAAATGGTAGCTTTATTTTTAAGGGAATCAATTAAAAGTCAAATTGGCCAATCTGATTGTTTTCCAAAATTGGAGATGGACCCTAGTTTTTATTATTTGGGGGGGGGTTAGTAAATGTTAGTAATAGGGGGAAGGGATTATTCGCCATCTTTAATGATACCTGGATCATCAAGGGCGGCATCACCAACAGTACCTCCAGGCTGGAGATGATTTGCACATCTGCCGCCACCGCTGTCAGCTGCGCCCCATCCTCGAGCCCGACGTCGCAGAGTTTGTGGCTGCGCTGCAGGGGTTGCTGCAACCAGTAGAGCCGACCTAGGGCTGAAAAACCTGGGAAGTGAGAGTAGACTTTACAAAGCTGGAAATGTTTACACTTTAGACCCAGGTTTTTGGCGGGTTAAAACTCTAGACTCTAGTTAGTTAGAGTTAGATCTGGGGATACCAGCAATTGGTACTCCAGAGCCTATCTAGAACTGCTGGTAAATGGTAGGACCCACCAATGATCATGAAGGCTTCACCCTCCGTTGGTCAAAATCGCATTTGCGATGCTGATCCTTTGCCAGGTTACCCTCCAGTAGACAAACATGGAAGGACCCCAAAGTGCCAAAGTGCAAGTCCTGTGTTGCGATGATTTACAGGTCGATTTCAATGTATTTATAGATCCTATTCATCATGGGGCATTTTCCGGCATGCGACGTTTGATTACGCGAGGGTAACCTGCGATGAACCAAAGCTGGAAGTTGGAGCTGGAGATTTGCGGAGATTGCTGAGAGGTGCGGTGTGGTTCTCCATATTTTTTGGTGGTAGATCAACCCCGTGAAGTGCAATCTACGTGTACAGTACGTATTTGGATGTGCTGGCTCCATGGTATTCAACTTCTTGAAGAGTAACTCTTGTCAGAACGACAAGTGCCGCTTCACTGGAGCCTCTTCTTCATTGTGGGGACCCACAAAAATTGGGGAAATCAATGTCTACAGTATAGGCACACCTTTAAGTGCAGTTTCAGCTTTCAAGTCCCACGATGCAGGTCACATATGGTCAAATGGAAACTTGGTAGGATTCGCCTGGATAAATTATAACAATTCACTAGCCTGAAATAAGGGTGAGGTTGCAATATAATTTAGACAGGATTTATGGGCTGAAGGGAGAACAATGATCCTCAAAAACAGCACTCGTCTCCTGGCTCCATATAACAAAATCAGTTTAATCACAGGGGCTCCTGGATGCTTGTGGGCTATCCACCAAGTCCGGACCAAGTCCATCCAAATCCATTTTTTGTTTCCAAGTTGCTGACATCCACGTTTAGAGCTTCTCTGGATTTCCTGAGGACATCCATGACCGTAGCATTGCAGGCCATGGAAAGTCGACAACTGCGACCACTCAGCAGACTCACGTCCAGTGAAATCTCGGCCCTGCGAAGCCATTTTGCCTGGCACCCAGATGGGTCCATGGAGTACCACAAAACCATTGGTTTCCCTGTAAAAATGACCCGAGCTTGCGATGCTGATAGCTTGGGATCCCCCATTTTAGGAGAGCTGCTGGGAAGTTGGGGGTCATTTTTTGAGGCGCACCCACACTGGAGGCTTCAGGGGAATCACACACGCACAGTGTCAGATGCGCATGGCAGTTCCGGTTTTGTGGATGTAGCTGGGGCAAAGGCCGGAGTACCAGGAGTCCCTCCCTGCCTGGGGGGTTGGAAGGCCATCAGTCGCAGCCTCCAAATTCGTCATGTCAGTACGATTGTGAGTAGGAAACACACTGGCAAACCCAGCAAAAACTAGGCAGCCCTGACATTCTGAATGATCGAGGGTGTAGAACAGGACACAAGAAAACTTGCGTTTAGAGATACGAATAATCTATCCCATACACTCAACATCGAAGCCTTTTAAGGAAATTTATCTTGTAAACCTGAGAGTGCAGTTCAAGATTTGACCACATAAGGGCAGATGGATGTAAAGGGGGTTCCCCCCTCGTAAAATAGACAATCAAATTGTAGATGACGTGGGCTTTAGGCTGCCTCAATTTTGCAGGTCTGCAGTCCACTTTGCGGGTCAAACCTTTCAATGGTTTCAAACATGTCTTTAAGACAATGCCAAACACCAGCCAAATTGGTCTCTGAAGAAACTCAACAATTTGGAAAACAACCCTTGTCTCACCGTCCCTACCAAACATGGTGGGAAGCCTTTGTCAGGTTTTGTCATAGGAACATCACCCTGCTTGGACGTAGATCTCCCAGAAGTATCTACTCCTACAGTATGATGATGAAACATCCCAAAAATGTGACGCGTTCCACTCACTTCAAATGGTTTGTTCCTAAGGTGTGGTAAATATTGTTTGGCCCACCAAAAATTGGCTGTAAATAAAATGAAAAGCGGATGTGTCAAAATGCAACGTGGTACAGCTGTACCCGAAACCATGGGATAGGTGTGCTGAAAATGACAAACCAATGCCGGGCCCCGGGCCTTGGCGTTTTGGACGCCAGCCACCCATCTTGATGGGTTGGTTCATATTCTGACTGTTTGGTGGTCTATATCCATTTGAATCCTCTGTTGTTGGGAGAAAATCGCCAATGTATGTTGATATCAGCTGCACTACCTTTTTTTGTGAGTACCCTCCAGCAAATCAAGACATAGATATATATTTATATTATATATATATTATATTATATATTTATATTATATTATATATATATATTATATTATATATATATATTATATATATATACGTATATATGTATCATTATATATCAGTCTCGTAGGAAACCGGTGGTTTTCCACATCTACCTTGGCTTCCTGGAGGTAACTTAGCTACAGTAAGATTATCCATGATAATCCCATATCATCCCCATTTTTTCTTGATACAATTCCTTTGTTTACTCGATACAATCCCCAATTTTACTGATCAAATGTCGATGCTTGGGTGATTAAAGCCAGCCATGTCTAGATCCACACGGTGTTCCGGTGTTCCCTTGGACCCGTTCACCTCTTGGGCTTCTTGGTTGCTCTCGTTGGCATCCCGCGCAATCCCCATGGCGTCACCCATGATGTGATCAAAACTGCTGACCGACAATCTGTGGCTTCTAGGCTCTTGACTTCTGAGCTGGGTCGGATCAAAATCATTCAATATGATGAAGAATCATCCGGAATTGGCAAATAAATATTAGTCCTAGCCACCTTAGAGTTGTTGCGTCACAGTTTCAGTCAAGAGATGAAGGCTCACAGTCACCAAGCCCAAGATCTAATACATTTGAATTCTTTTCCTAATGGTATTCCTAGTGGTTTCCTTGCTTGTTCTTGCCTTGCGGACTTTTGAGGATCCACTCCATATGGAACAATGGCATGAATGAACCCGTGTCCAGTCCGTCAAGACACAAAACAGTGTACACCCACCCATCCACACAAAGATACCGTAAAAGAATGAGTGCCCATCACATGAGCAAAGCTGTATGGTCTATGCAGGTTCAAACATATTTAAACCTTAAAGCCCTTACCATGCATAATTATTGCGATCCCCTACTGTGGTGAAACAAACCAAATGTGATTTTTTTTACTGCGTCTCACACCGTCCATCTTGCCACGCACAAATTTTGCCACATGTGAATGGCTTTAGTCATTTTGCACCACCCAAAAGAGATGGTTTACCGGTTTACTACCAAACACGATCAGTTCATCTGCGAGTCCCTGGGTTCTTGAATTGTAACCCAGGCCAATTTAGGTGGTTATGGTAGGTTGCACCCCTAAAAAGGTTCCTCATATTCCCTGGCCAATAGAAACACAATCGCACATACAATATCATATAATCTTATTTGTGGTGTGGTTTACAACTATTTCACAATTCAAAAGATCTCAAAAGTGTATTTAGTGCTTCCAAAGTGCGGATTTTTGAAGGCCAATAGATTATGGTTCCAACACCGTACCGCACTGTTTGACCCATATCGTTAATTAAAAATCCCCGCGTTTATTGCTTTAGACCGCCATGTATGCTGCTCATGTTTTTCCGTGTTTGGTTGTTCAATCCCAAGTTTTCCATGGTTAATCCCAAGTTGGTTGCTGTTTGTTATCATGGAGTGAATTCATGTTTCATTCTGTTTTATCATCAAGATATCTCAGAGTTTGCTCAAGTTAACTCTCCATGTTCGTCTCACCTCGGCGCTGGGCTATGCTGGGCTGGGACCCCTGCCAAGCCCAGAGCCATGAAGAGGGAGATGCTGTGGACCCGCTCCACCAGTCTTGGGCCTGGAGCCTGGTCAAATGCTGCTTTTCTGGGTTTTTGTTTCATGTTGCGAACTGGAAATCACCATTAAAATCATACGTGAACATAGGTGAACCATGTGGAATCTGTTTATCGAACTGAATGGATCATGGCTTTCATAGCTATGTTGAATAAGCAAAGGGTAGAATCATTCCAGATGTACCTACAAGCGAAGGGTTTAAGTCACATCAGTTGGGCAGAAGTCACATCAACCCCATGTAACAGCGAGTTGGAAGAAAGTCACATCAACTGGGCAAAAGTCACGTCAAAATATCAAAATCCCAATGGCACACCGGCTTTCAAGGAATGTTGCTATATCTCCAAAAATGAAGAAAACATTGCGCACGCTGAGGTATTCACATATGTTTAAACTATGTGTTCAAAGGATATATTTAGGAATCACCATGGCACACGGCCTCCCAGATCTTTAACTTTGTTTCCTAACAAACATAGATTTCCATGTAATAGCTATGGGCAACATCATCATATCAACAACGTTAAAATCTGAAAACCCAGTGGCACACCGCTGTCAACACCCGCTTCCGCTTGAATGTTTCATAAGTTCTGCCTTCTGTAAACATTCCCTCTCTCTGCTGGCGTCTCCCGCCCGTATCTCCCGCCAGCGCCAAACAAGGCGACCGAGACTGTAATTTTCTTTTTCGGCGAAATATTTGCACCAGCGGCAGCAGCAGCAGGAGGAAGCAGCAGCAGCAGCAGGAGGAGGAGGAGGAAGCAGCAGCAGGAGGAGGAGGAAGCAGCAGCAGCAGCAGGAGGCAGCAGCAGCAGCAGCAGGAGGCAGCAGCAGCAGCAGCAGGCGGAAGCAGCAAGCAGCAGGAGGCAGCAGCAGGAGGCAGCAGCAGGAGGCAGCAGCAGGAGGCAGCAGCAGGAGGCAGCAGCAGGAGGCAGCAGCAGCAGCAGAAGGAAGCCGCAGCCGCAGCAGCAGCAGGAGGCAGCAGCAACAGCAGCAGCAGGAGGCAGCAGCAGCAGCAGAAGGAAGCCGCAGCCGCAGCAGCAGCAGGAGGCAGCAGCAACAGCAGCAGCAACAGCAGCAGGAGGCAGCAGCAACAGCAGCAGCAACAGCAGCAGCAGCAGGAGGCAGCAGCAACCAGCGTTTGCCCCGTTGAAAGAATAATGAAATATAATATAAGTTTTATAAATCAACGCAATACAAAAATTGAACTTTTTCTAGGCGCACGGCCCCAAAACAATGAAATCATCCAATTACTAAAAGTTGTGGTGATGCCAAACTTGAACTTTTTCCAGGCGCACGGCCTCCCGATACAACTTCCACGAGCTGATACGACTTAACGCTAGGGCTAGTAGGGTCAAATAGAATCATGTCAACAAAACATTGTGCACAGCGATGAAAAAGTGTTCGAATCAATAACCCATCAAATAAAGAACTATCAAAATCTATACGAAACACTGCGCGCACGCAGGTGTGATACGACTTCAGGTCGATTGATACGACTTAAGCCTAGTGGTAGTATGGGTGTTGTTCCCACACAATGGGAACATGGCGAAATGGGTGAAAAGCTGAAATCACAACATACCTATAGGTTGGGGCAACCAAAATATCGTTGCTAGAAATGGTCTCAAAATGACCATCTTGGAGCTTTGGGTGATGGCAATGGGGGTGCCATCACCTAATCATCGATAGGGTGCCATCTACCAGCATTTCAAGGTTGCGATAGGTGAATCCCTTGGTACATTTTATGGGAAAATTAAATTGCTGCGATAGAACTAGAAAATAGAGGTTGACCAATGTGGACAATTTAAAACTTGGGCTACTGATTTGGAGAATCACTAAATTTTGTACATTTTTGTACCAAGTCCAATCCATTGGGGGAATGGCTGTCTCCAAGTCCAGGCTTCATCTCTTGGAAGATCATCAGTCAGGACATCTCAAGATCTGGTGTCACGGGTCTCCAAGCCAGCTGGATCAGCAGCATGAATATGAACCTTGGCACTGGGATGGGGGTCTAAATAAAAAACCGCAGTAAACCGTACAATGCAAACATGATGTGGTAAATTCAATAGTAAACCCACATGTTTGAAGTATATCTTTGAAAAATCAGGAAGAACAGAAGCAGATGTAAGAATTTGGTACTGTTTCTGGTTTACTGGTTGGATTCCCATACTGGTTACTGTTTCTGGATTATATATATATATATACATACATTTAAAAAAAAAAAATCCTGGGCAGTTCCCAAGTCCATCCCGGAATCCTCTTTGTTGGGGGATGCACTGTGCGGCTTCTGCCAGATCCCAAAAAAGGGAGCTCCGCCTGTGTATACACTGTGGAAAATAGCCATAAGATAGCTCCCTCCCCCATTTTCAGACAAACCTTCAGACAAACCTGTCTGGCCACCTTGATTCGCAGACTCGTCTTATAAGCGGAAAAATCTCCAGGAAGCCCTTGAACCCCTTTGGGAGGTTCCTTTTTACAGAAAACATATGGGGGTTCCTAAAATAGGGGTACACCCAAATCATCCATTTTGATAGGATTGTCCATTATAAACCATCCATTTGGGGCATTCCCCATTTATGGAAACCTCCGTATGTTTTCCTGAAAGGTTATCTCAAAAACTCAGCAGCAAAGATCCAAAGCTCCAAAGCTGCGGCTAAGCGACATCAGGAAGCTGCAGATCCACTTCACCACTTGGATGGGCAAAGGTGCTTCCTGGTGGATGGCCCAGCGAAAACGAAGATGGAAACCGGGTTCCGACCCATTTGCAGTGGGGGTGGTTTTCCAGGACCATCATCTTCCAAACCCACCACTTAGGACTTTGATTCCAGGTGTTGTGTTTAGTCCACAGAGAAGGTCAAACTTAGTCAACTTGGAGGTTGTCAATGGAGGAGTGCTTCAGAGTAGAATTAGGTTGCAATTATTGCAGAAAATTGCACTATGAAGGAGCAAAGCCCCGGCAGTGCCGCGCTACTTTCCATGGCAGGTATGAGATATATAATGGGCTACGGGTGCAAATTCACCCTTCCCTCAGAATGAGTACAACAAGTACTGTAACATCCAAACCGGTTTGACGGGGTTTGACGCACGGTACTGAATAAGAGGCTTTCTGATTGCCTAGAACTATATAGCCTCAACAAACGATTCCTCATGATTCCTCATGTCATAACAGGGGCAGTGGTACCATCTCCATTCAAACATCAACCAATCAGGATATGATCTCCAAGGAATCGTCATTCGCAACGCTGGTGATCATAAGTCCCTCATTCCTGCTTTGTCCCATCTGATCTATACATGGTGAAGTGACCCCACTTACTTATCAGCTCCTAAGTGGGGTGAACCAAGTAGGGATTGGAAATAGAAAACATCTCATCTCCCGCCTCTCTATCCTCTCTTTAGTTCCATGTCTCATCATGTCTAAATGCAAAGCTCGCGCATGCAGCTGATCTTGAAAGTTTCTGAATCGAAACTTGACGATCCCACTTTGCATCAAAGGACATGACATGGCCACGGCTATGGCTCAAAGATCAGGCCTGATCTCAACCCAGAAATCGCATGAAAAATCGCCATCTTTCTTACCAAACCATGGATTTCGGAGGGTTCATAATTTGAAGCCATCTCCATCCCCACATCCAAACCGGACATGGCCAATGTTATAGACCCGGCAGTAAAGAAATCAGCTTGTACAAACTACTCAAGCTTGACCAGAATTGGGGGATTATACTCCCATTCCATGAGATTTACCCTCTGGTAATTTAACATAGCTATTGAAAATCACCATTTTGAATAGGAAAATCCACTATACATGGCCATTTTCAATAGCTATGTTAGTTTACCAGAGGATATATCACTATTGACGAATGAATGATTGGAAACTCCCCAACTACCCATATTTTCGGACCCGTCCTGGAGCTGATATCGTAGACTTGCGGAATCCCGGCTGAAGAGGTTGTCCGCACAGCTGCTCGTCTCAAAAGGTCCGGGCAAAATGCTGGAATTCACCAAGAAAACATGATCAAAGTGCCGATTCAGCCAGAGAAAACACGTGTTTTTCAAACAAAAAAAAGGAGCCTCGACCACGGAAGTTGGGGTTTCCAACAGCAACAAGAGAACATGGCCCATGACAGGTGATAGCAACGTCCCACCAGATGGATTGTCTCAAGATTCGGAAGGAACCCCATTCTATCTCATCATGTTTCAGAGCAGTCATTTTCCCACATTTTCGCCATTGAATCGATGGCCACTTCGGGGTAAATCTACCATGCAGTCATTGGTGAAACACCCCAATGACAAGATGGGATGTGGAGATACTATGAAATATCACGAAATATCCATAATTACTCATAATCTATATACTAAGCACAATATTAAGCACAATATTAAGTATAATTATATGTAATATGTATATAATCTATAGTATATAATTAAACATGATTCTAGTCCAATATTCATCCTATTTTGAACGCGGATGATCTCCGACCTTCCGTTGTGCCTTGGCGTCCGAGTCTTCCACACGGCCGAAGGTCAAAACTCGAGACCTGCCGCGCGGCAACCCGCAAGATTTGGGGAGGTCAATGGAATACTCATGGGATATCATGGGATTTTGTTTCTATTATATAGATGCTCTATATGACCACCACAAATCTTATGGAAGTCAAGACATGTCAAGACCATATCACCCAGGAACATAGGTCAGAAGACCAGTTTCACGAATAATACCGCTGTTCGCGCTGTGAAACAACGTGAAACTTGCACTGCATGATCCAGCAGACTTTGAGCTTCGTGTCGTGTTGGAGGAACATGACCTTGAAGGGAAAAAAAGAAATCACTCCGACCTTCATTCAGATTTGTCTCAAAATGGGATACCCAGAATTTTCATCTTAAAAATATGGTTGTTCTAAGTCACGGGATGGAAAAAAATGGGTTCCCAATTCTTTTTTTGGACCAAAATTTCCTATTTTCTGTCTCCCAGCAGCTTCCAACACTCCAAGCCTATTCAAATACATCGTGGCTGTGAACATCACAGGTCCGGCCAGTGGCATGGGAAGCCATGCAAAGGCACAGAGCCAGGTGGTGGAATTGGCCATGGCACGTTGCGAGGCCTTGGAATGGGAGCAGTAGATTCAATGAAAATATGGGGAGGGACATATTTATGAAAGATTTTTTTTTGTGAAAAAGAAACTTTATTTAAAAAAAAATCCTGATATGAACTCATTAGTATTCATGAGTGATGTTTGGATGGCCAACTATTAGTTGTTTTGTAACGAATCTCTCCCCCCTGAGAGTAAGCCCCCCTTCACCTCGGTTTAATGTTGAGTCTCCCCATCAACTCCCGGGCGAAGCCACTGGTTTCCCGGTTTCCCGTGTCAAATTCACTGATAAACTAGGGCAGTTGTGAACTGATGGTTTAATGGATAAATATAGATAATAGGTCATAAATGGCTTGATATGAGTTATAATATGTTATAATGTAATCCACTGTTAGCTAGAATATATGAATTTCTGCACCAACCTGATTGCGAGAACTTTATAAAACCACTGAGCTATTGCCATATAATGTTGGTAGCGATACCGCAAATCATGATTGCAGATCCGATCTTCTGGTGGGTTAATAGCGGAACGCTCGCATCAAAATCTCTTGTGCCGCAGCAAGCACCAACATCTGCTACGAGAACGCTTCTCCACCACTTATTCATGCACAAAAGCAGCATCTATATGGTCAAAATCGTGAAAATCTCAATTGGACGCTTTAAGAAATATAAAACCATCTAACACCTAGCGAATCCCGAAAGATCCCGTGAAAATCGAAGCTTCCCTGCCACTCTTCAGCTTCGGCCCTGGCCAAGTCGAAGTTGGCCCCAGGCGCCTCAGGACCCTCACTGCTCTTCTCCTCCTGGCGATTTCAGAAAGCGAGCTTCGAAACCAATCAAGATTTCAAAAGCATTTTCATGATGGTTATGCTGTGTGATTTTACAGAAAATCAAATAACCATGGTGAATATGTTGGCTAGAAAAGGGGCCTAGTAACCCGCAAGAAGTGGTGCAAATGGGACGATTTGACAGGTATCTGACCTGCTGGGTGGTTCAGCCACTTAATTCCCGGTTGTTGATGATGTGCTTCGTTTGGAAACAAGCCACTCCCAGAAATGCTTGGTACGGAAAAAAGTCGAAACGGATGTACCGGACAGCTTCAATGAGCTTTGCCATTTCGGGTTTGATAAATATATATATATATATTATACATAGATAATCATAGAAATGTTATGTGTACGTGTACGTATATATATATATAGAGAGAGAGAGAGACTGGAGTACCACCAAACATTCATTTTCTTGCCTTAAATCATCACCCTTGACTCAAAGCTGGCTCTAAAAGGCTGGATCAAAATTGGGTCACGGAGGGATTTTTACTGAGAACCACCGGTCCCCCTGTAGTTCCCTGGGCCAACAGGTAGCCAACAATCATCTGGCTGCTTGGTTATACTCATATATGTCGATATTTATATATATATATATATATTTGTATATATATATATATATTTGTATATATGTATACATATATATATGTATATATATATAGTTTTTTCCCTCATGGCACACAGGGACAAGCTGTCGCGGCCAATGCGGTGAATTCAAAGAGCAGCCAGTGGACAACAATTAGCCAGCGAAGTCCGGCCCAATGTGCTTACTGTACTCGTCCCCGAGTATATATATATATATATATGTGTGTGCGTGTGCGCGTAAGTTATTTACATTATTATATTATATATACATATCATATCATACTTATATATATATATATGTGTGTGTATGATCCCATCTTCCGACCGCGAGGTCCCCCCCAATGGTATGGGTCCCCAGGTAGCACCCCCCCCTTCCCTTCTATTTGCAAGCTATTGGCAGCATTTCTGAGGTCCAGCCTCGTATTTGCTAGGTTTTTGCAGCGATTCTGACAACCAGCCTCGCATTTACTAGGTACATGCTACCTTTTAGACGACCTACGTAGCACACATACTCCCTCAAAGTACCTACGTGCTACCTATAGTCATATATACATGTGCTATGTATCTACTTCCTATATATATTTTTTTAATATGTTATAGATACATATATATATATATACACTTATTCGTATTTGAGTATATATATATTTACATATATATATATAAATACATGTATATATATACATATTCACATATACATATATATATATATGTACACATACACATATATATATATATATACATATATATATAAGCGTATATTTATATATATATATGTATAAGCATATATATATATAGACATGTATGTATATATATATATATACACATACATATACATATATATATATACATGTATAATCATATATATATATATATATACGCAGTACCACGCCCCCACCACACCACAGGGTGGTGGGAGGGGGGCAGTACCACACTCCCACCACACCACAGGGGGACAGGACTATGGCTGACCCATGACCATGGCGGGGGGGACTTCTAACTACTACTAACTACTACGTACTATTACTAATTACTGACTAGTACTGACTACTACCAAGTGCATCATAACTACTACAAACTACTACGAACAAGTACTAAGCACTTCTCAATAATAGTACTAACTACTACTATCTACTACTCACTAGTACTAACTATTACTATCTACTACTAACTGCTACTGGCTACTACGAAGTACTACTAACTACTTCTCACGACGACTAACCACTACTATCTACAACTAACTAGTACTGACTGCTATGATCTACTAGAAAACTAGGATTCAGTACTACCAACTACTACTAACTACTACTCACCACTACTAACTACTACTAACCCCCCCACCCACAGGGGAGGGCGGGGAACATAGCTCCTGTATATCCATACCCATTCCTACTACCAACTACTACTCACTACGACTAACTGCTACTACTACCCCCTCCCACCCACCCACAGGGGGGGGCGGGGAACATAGCTCCTGTATATCCATACCAATGCCTACTACTACTACTACTACTACTACTACTACTACTACTACTACTACTACTACTACTACTACTACTACTACTACTAC